GCAGAAACAAAGCCAAGGATGAAGGACTTTCTACGGTTTTCAGCAAGTAGCTGGTTGTCGCTTGCTTTTAGTGACAAAAGATACTCACAGACCTTCCTGACCTGATTCTGCACAGTGCTGAGGTTTGATTTACTGATGGGGGACTTAAACCCTTTCATCATTGGATGCCTGGAGTTCAGCAAATCAAACAGCCTATCAATGTTTCTTATGAACTGGACTGTAGCACCACAGTTTTTGAAATCCTCAGCCATCATATCATTCTTCAAAAACTCCAATGCATCTGCTACTGAAGAACTTAATGTTTGGGCTGCCAACCTGACTCTCATTTTATGCTTTTGCCAGTTAGTATGCACTGTTGTAAGCTTGTTTGCAATTGAAAATCCCTGGTCATCTTGTAGCTTGCACAATTTTTCAATATATGCCCAAGAGATTGTTTCTCCCTGAGCATTGTAGAGGTTTCCCATATCCCCAAGAGCATTTCTAGCCAGCTTTATCATGTGACATGCATCTAGTGTGGCATACACAAAATAATCCCTTGTGGGGTGTTTAAACCTGACTACCATTTCATCATACTTTGTGGAAAACTTGCACCCAAGGCCTTTTAAGGAAGCAAAATTGGTATAAGTGCCATCACATGTAATTGACCATATTCTTAGTCCATGATTGGCAGCTAGAGACAAGCAGGTTTTGATCAATGAAACCTGTGTTTCTGCATTGCATTTATCTATTAAAAAGTAGCCAACAGGGCATTTCCAATGATTCTTAAGGCCAGTCAGCATAAAAACCAATGCTTCAGATGCTGGCGATTCTGTATTTTCAGGGATCAAATTCCCATAGTCAACAAAACCAGAGTATTTGGATCTGGCTTGGTCATAGATCACTTGCTTCCGAATTGCCATTGCATCAATTAACAGGGCACAATCTACCATATCAGGCTTACTCTCACTTTGTTTTTCTAAGTCCCTGAAAACTTCAGAAAGAAATCCAGGCTCACAGTTGACTGAGGCTGTCCATTGTTTGATTGATGATGGGTGTGGCAGCTTGAAAATTTTTCTTAAGAAGCTGTAAGCTTTGTGGGAGTAGAAATTTACAGTTAAAGCAAACTTTTTTAATTCTTCACTGTAACGCATCCGTTTAGGGGTGGCTGATAAATTTCTTATTTCATTCATGAATATCTCACTGGAAATTCCAGAAAACTGATCTTTTAATATATCAGCTGCTGAAAATGAAAGCATGCTTCTGTTTTTCATTGTATCAATGATATCATGTGAGTTGATTTTGTTATTTCTGCGTCGCAGCTTTTGATTTAAAGTTTTGATTTTACGTTTAAGCTTTTTTTTGTTGGTGAATTTGCTCCAGCACCAGTTGCAATGTAGGCAGATTTTTCCACCCTTTCTTTCTTGGCTTTAATTCCTACAGGTGACTTGGGTGTTTTCCTTTTCAATTCCCGCCTGTTTTTTGGTGGAGCACGCTGTAGGTATTTTGGAAATTCAGGGAATACTGATGGGATGGCAGTTGGTTTCAAGCGAGTGTAGGGTTCTCCTGGTGGCACTTTGTAATCAGATGGGAGAAAATGTTGGCTACAGATATAAGAATATTTTGTTGGGCTCCATTTCCAACGCCTGACAGCCGCAATCCAAAGTTTCCGCCTCTCCTCCTTTGCAGGGAATCTAGCAAGTACCAAATTATGAGAACTTAATTAGGCTGGCTATAAACTGAAAAATCTAAACTGAGAATGCAGAAGTAAGGTTATGAAATTTAGGACTTGTGAATGTAGCCCCCCTTCAGAGGATCAGGCAATGTTATATCTAAATGTTTTATAATTGTTAAGAGGGTCCTCAATAAACTACACAATTGAAGGAAGTATTTTGCTTACCATGCATTACTCTAATGATCAATAGGTTTTATTAATAATATTGCCTGCAAAGTTGACCTTACCATTGCTGATATTCAGAGAGAGAATCCTGACCAGTTACAATGAGGTAACTTTGGTAAAATTAAGAACAGTTTCAAAGTGAATTAGGTTTGGTTTGGTTGCAATAATCATTTAATTAAAGATCTGGGGGATGGATTGATTTGTGCATTTGTGAGAAAGAAGATCAATTTCAAAGTGAATTAGGTTGGTTTGGCTGCAATAATTGTTTAATGAAAGATTTAGGGGATGAATTGGTTTGTGCATTTGTGAGAAAGAAGCCATTTCTGGGTGCCAGTTATCCAAAATGAGCTAATTAGACTACATTTGTAGCTTCTAGGACACAGCCAGGCACATCAAAGGTTGGAATTGATTTTTTTTTGAGGGCTAAAGATTTAATTTGTCTACAAATCTCTAGAAAGTATCAAGATTTCAAAATTTTCTCTCCAATTTTGCGGTTTAGAGTGGCTATAGCCCCATGTCGACCTGTGGCCACAGGTACTACCCAGGGCCCACACCACGGGGCGGGGCTGAGGGGGCATGGTCCCCACTTTTTTGCGGAGCAAATAGTTTCAAAGCTGCAGTAAAAGAGGATAAAGCCTTGGCCCCCTACTTTTGCTAGCCTTACCCCCCCCCCACTTTCAAATTCGCGGCGTAGGCCCTGCTAACCCCTTCGAATTAATACATTGTTTCCGAGAAAAGGATTGCAATAGTTTAATTTCTTTTTCACAAATGATTTTATTTTTGTTTTAATAACATGGAAAAAGAAAATTTACGAAAATGCTGTAAGAGAGTTGTAACCAACCGATGAAATGAGATGGAGCTAGGACTAGCTCCATCGTGGCTTATTTCTGTTTTAGAGTTATAGCGATCCGCCTGGCTTCCATCCCCGTTTAGACACAACTTTTTCTTGTCAATTTGTCGGTTCTGACAACCAAAAGCAATGCACGATATAACCATTTCCAATCGAACTTCGAAATGAACACATGAAAATTTTTTCTTGCCGTGCAAAATGAGACTTTGCGGAAATCAGGCGGCCTCACTTCCACACTATTGTGTTGTTCCTCTAGCGTATTCTATTCACCTCATTGCATAACACTACCAAAAAAGGTTTCCTGCCAAAAAAGAACTATGACTGCCCCCGAATGACTTAAAGACATCCCTGAAGGCAGCTTTTGCTGAAAATGTTTCGAGAATGAGGCTCAGTGCTCAAATGATGCAATTCTCGTACGGTGGTTTTGATGCATCCTAACAATCATTGACCAATTGAATCAGATACAACTTTGTCTAAAAATTCCGTCAAAAACATTTGACGGAAACAGCGTAAAAATTTCGCAGAATAAATACTATTTTATTGCAAATCTGCACTTTTCTCAGTGACAAACTTTCTTAGCATTGGGGGGCAGTTGCCCCCCTTTCCCCCCATCACTACGCCACTAGTCCCAACTGGTGGTTCAATTAGCTTGCAAGAACAACCGATTCAAAAAATGTTGCAGACACCGATGTTTAAAGATTGTAGTCTGTCTCCAGTCAATATACATTGCTTTCTTGATGACGTCATACTCAGAATTAACATGCGGTCAGATTTTACATGCGGTTGTATGTATCGCTTCTGATTGTCACATTCACATTGCTACCATCAATAAAGGGGTTGTTATGAACCCGCCTTAATTTCATGTAGCATGCTATAAACATTTTTGCCAAACCATCACGACAGTTTTCCATTTGATTTATGAAATACCGTAGTTTAATTTGAAATATGACTCGATTTAGGGTCATGTTTTGTATCTCAACCTGTCTTGGCCGGCTCAAACGTATTGTATTTGCACAGAAACCTATTTGAGGGCACTTTTAAATCTGTGATTAATTTTAAGGTAACAGTGAACGTTTTCTGGATAAAAAATCCATTTTTCGATATCTTTACAATCTAATAGCCGAACTTTCAAGGCACACAATGCTACCATGTTTAAAACTTACAGAGGTTTCGAAAAAAATGCGAACAAATTGTTGTGGTTATTTTCAAGTACCCATTTATGTAGGAGATCAGAAAAGTTATAGTGAATGGTGATCTGCTGGGACCCAAACGATTACTGGAAACGATAAGAAACGATTACTGGAGAGTCAGGAAAAATTAAGAAACTTCAGTACTCGAAGCAAACAAATTAAGAAACTACTCAATTGTGATAAACCTGAGAACAACGAAATTTTGTAAAATCCAAGACCATGATCTAGCCTAGAACTTAAGACACAAGGGATGAAAATAAACTTCCCACATCTTAATACAGCATCAGAATGGAAGTGAATCTCTTGATGTGATGAAAAATGTCACGAACATTTCATAACATCATTCATGACATCATAATTAAGAAACTCTTAAAAAACAATGAGTATTGAAATTTCCAGAACCTTAAGAAACTGGAATACTCAACATCGACCTTTGTTTTTATTAAAAAATGAGTGTCGTTTGTTAGGCATAATCCAGGGGACCAGAAATTTAGTTCGTTTTACCGGCAAGTTCGTTTCATCAAGGGTTCGTTATATGGAGTTCCAATGTACAACTACGGGAAGGTAGAAAAATTATTTACCAATTTCTGACAGGGTTTAGTCACAAGAGGAGGAGGAGTTTGGAAAATCTGAGACACACTATGGTAGCTTTTGAAGATGGTACACTCATTCAAACAATAAATATGCCTGGAAAGTACCATTTTACAATATTTGCCAATATTTTTGAAATGGTTAGAATAATCAAATTCTTGTGCATCGAAAGATGTATAGTTTAATCCGACTCCGTCAATAGTTTGGCTTTTAGAGAGAGGAAACCAAATATCGAGTCCATCAAGGAGCTTGCTAGAGTGGCCATTCATTTATTTTTATAGATCTTTTTTCTTACAGTATGACTACAACAGAACTTTACTTTTTCAACCAATCTTACTTTTCCTAAGATATATATTTTTCCTGTTGATCTTTCCACTTTCTGGCTCAACAGAAAATGAGCTATCACACAGATTGTCCAATGATAATATATTTCATGAAATTTTAATGATCAATGTATGGCAAAAAGTGCACATAGGGTAGTCAAACACAATCATTTTCCCAAAATGTTTTTCATGGTAAAATTAAGAACGATTCATAGAAAAGGTCACATCTATAACTTGTTTATTTCATAAAGGATGATGTAAGTCTTGGAACATTCGCAAAGACAGGGCTGCTTTGGAATACAGGATAATCAAATATACCTTGTCCAGAACATTTATCAACAGCAATTTCCAAGCACTTTGTAAAAAAATGTTTTTTCTTTGACAAACTCTTCACTTGTGTCTACCAAGAATGTCTATGTAGTCAAGATCACTTTCATCATGGCATGCTGCATTGATTTTAGTGCCATCAAGCTTTTTATAAATTTCTTCTTTTACTGTAGATGCCACCATACGTTGCCTGACAGTACACTCAATTGGGATCCTTAAATAAATAATATGAAGAAAGTGAAACAAGATACATAAAAACCTTTGGAAAGTATTACAATTAAAAATTCATTGACAGTAGGCATGCCATAATAAAATGTCACTCAGGAGTAGAAAATAGGAGTAAAAAATGAACAAAATAGACAAAAAACAGCTTAATCAATGTCCTGTATTTGGAACATACAATACATATTTGAACAAGTTGCGCTTCACTGAAAGAAAGGACTACATTAAATTTACGAGTTTTTAGCAATGAATAATTTTTTTCATTTTTTGTTGATGATTCCAGAAAAGTTGTTAACCATCCTCCAGACAAAAACATCCCAGAAGGCAAACCTTCACCATAAAACAATAGAAAGTGGGCGTGGGTTGGAGGTGTCATTGGAGCTTCTCTTGTTTTTCGTGGACCTTCCTATAGTCATTGGCCGTGCGACCGCAATGTTTTCCTGATATTGTTTTGTTGCATTCACTCCATGTTTTCTTTAAAGTACTGTAAAGCGACTGAAACAATGCAGAACATGGCAATTCGGATGATGCAGCAGCGTGGGCAAGCAAGAATGTCATTTACTCACCTTTCGAGTTGTTGAATGGAATAGAACACATAGGATTCTTGAAAAAGTCTAATTTGGCAAAATCTGACCGCTTAAGAGCAGCGTAAGGGTGCTTCTCCTCTTTTAAAAGTCTTCTTCTTATACCGTAAAAGCTCTATCAAGCCCCCGGGGGCTTATTTGTTTTTCCAACTTTTCGCAACTTGTTTAGGGGCATATTAGAGAGAGGGGGCTTATTAAAAATTTGAAACAAAAAAATGTTTACCTACCATGCAAGGTAAGCCAACACAGTAAGGTCACTTAATGACTTTAACTTCACTACAGCATATTGTGGTGTCTGGTCTTTCAAAAACAAGTATCGGATATAGGCCATGTTATTGGGTTCAGGTTTTCCATTATGACTTTTTTGCTTGAAACCTCCTGCAATAGCTTCTGCTAATTTTGCATCAACCTCTTCTGGGTAGATTTCCTTCACAACCTGAACTTCCTTTTCATCAACCACACCAAAAATCAATATAGCCATTGTTGTTTTCTCAGGTTGAAACTTGGTCTTATATATTTCAATTGCTTCCTTTGAGACGGAAATCCCTGACATAGCCTAAAAAAGAAAAAAGATAATATGACCACACATGTTACTCTGCCTGAAGAATGTCACTGCTTAGTTAGGTCATGCTGCGTACTGCAGAGTGAGGCAAATTTGTTTACTTCCACCATTTTAAATAGAGGCAAAAAGTGAGCTGCAATAGGGTTCAGTATGGAAAATTGCTTGTTTTAATGAATGATTTTCTCGTGGCTCACAACAATTTCAGTGCCTTTTCTGATGCAGGTAGTTAGAGGAGATATAAATCAACAACACATAACAATTTTTTGGGGTTTTTAAACAGAATTTCAAAAAATATGGCTCTTTTAGTTTAGGCAGTTATATGGGGAATATAGCAGTGGCCTGTCGTGTTTTTATGAGTTGAAAAAGTATGTGCTTGCAATTCTTATCTTATATCAATTAGAAAGAACTTGTTGAGTCTATTATCTAATAATATAGACCATTTTAAACATATAATTCATGAATTTTTCTGTCTGTCGTTTAGAGCCTAGTGTAGCATGAGTAGAAAAGTACTAATTTTTTCATATTTAAATTGTCAAATTGAAATTGTAGAAATCAAATTTGATATGAATTAAACTTCTTTCCTCTTGGTAAGGCCAAATTAGTAATCTTTATCATGAATATGTACCCCAAAGGTATTTTATAGCCCTAAAGATACAGGGAGGGACACATTGTCCTGAAGAATAATTACAAGCAACGAGTGCGGTTTTGAAATTGTCTAAAAATATCAATAATTATATCGAATTAAAAATTGGTTACTATGATTAAATTCTGTTATTAAATCCAAGCATTGAATTATGACCTATTTTCGGCTTTTTCTAGAGTTAGGCCTAGATATTTCATAGCAGTTTCTGTAAACCAAGAAAGAAAAAGTAACTAAATCACATCTTTGTACAAACGTGTTAAGAAAGTAATGCATTGAGTGGCTAAAAACTGTTGCTGGATCCGTTTTAGAACAGATCAACCATCTTCGACAATGATTTTCTGGAATTTAGATGAGACAGAAAACACCACAGCAAGCACCGCAACTGTAAATGCTTGGAATTTGCGAGTGACGGCCTATTTTTCCAATATTAACATCAATTCATAAATTCGATTGCAATATTAGGCCACTCACTAAATTTCACATCCATATTCGAAAGAGAAGTAAACGAAATCAATCCTTACTTTTACCAAATATATAATGGCTCAGTATGGAGCAAGTTCCTTTTTGCCACTATTCAAAATGGCAGAAGTAAACAAATTTGCATCACAGCGTACCTGTGAGTTAGACATCTAGCGCCTTCGGCGCTTCTATATCATTGAGTACAAGCCACTCATGTGGTACAAGCTCGTTCGTTAGCGGATTGTCGAAAGAAGAATATAATTGTTATTAGGACAAGATAAGTTTGATAGGAGGTGTATAACCATACTCTATGAAGAAAAGAGACTTCTGCAATTTCTGGTTGGATCTAAAGAAATTGGTACCAAGAACAACTACGACAAAATTGTATTGGTTGATTCCCCCCAGAAACTGAATGAAACCCCACTTAGGCCATGGGCTGTTTGTGAACCACAAGGGAAGATTTCCGCCTGTCATTGCAACTGTGTGGCAGGTCTTGGTGAGTGGTGCACACACGTTTCAGCGTTGCTTTTTGCCGTTGAAGCAGCAGTACAGATGCGAGAAAACAAAACTGTTACCTAGGAAAAAGCATATTGGCTTGTGCCAGGTACTACCAAAAAGGGGTTGTATGGACCAGTCAGCGAAATTGACTTTTCTTTCCCAAACTTTAAGAAGAAGCAGCCAGATGAAGAAATTTGTGGAGGGGAAGCAAAAACCTACAATAGTAAGAAAACCACAGGAGTACCAAAGCCATCAGATTCTGAAATAGACACTTTTTGAGAAACACAGGCCAGGAATAATGTTCATCACAGAACCATTTTGTAAAGAATTTATACAAAAGGCTTTAAATGGAGAGTTCTCTACATCGTTGTCTGAGATTACTGAAGAATCAATGTTTGAGACTGGATCTGATGTGCTTCTTTAATACTGTAAAGGATATAAACTACCCTAAGGAACCAGTTTTATAATGACCAAAATCGCTGATATAGAGCTAATAATAAGTAATATTATGTTTGACTGACATGAAAATTACCACAAGCAGTTAGTGCCTGACAGGCCAATTACCCCCAATTGTTGGGGTTTGACCCCTTTTTTTCAGAAACGCCCCCTAAAACACTTAATCAACATTCAAATTCGTAATATACGCCCAAAACTACATAGAAAAAGTTGGTGTGGTAAATTCTGCGCTCGGGTGACAATAGCCCCCCTCCAGCCTCTGGATTATATCACTAACTTAGCCTGGTAAACATGAGATCTGAATTTCATTTTAAGCAGTAGCCTTTTAACACAAGGTAGGTATAAATTGAAAAACAAGTGGCCCCCAAAAAATTCTATACCTTTTTCTGCCCCAGCACTTAAAATAATTAAGAACTCCTGTTGTAGAGTTTGGTTTAAAACCATTGAATACACCATTCAGGGGTGGAAAGTTTTTTCTAGCTGGAGCTGCAGTTAAAAACAAATATTTTCTGTGCCACAAACAAGCCACACAGACCTCTAGCTTGAGCCTATTGAACATTTGATTGATGTAGATAGTAGTCCTTTCCATTGAATTTTACAAATTATTAACACCTCCATTTTTAACCCTAGCACAAGAAGATTACATAATACAAAAGAGTAGTCTCAAATAAAATGTTTAAACTAGTTGATTTGATGAAGTATAGCTACTCCAATTGTCCTCTGTGATTGCTCAGCGGCCGGCATATCTTTTTTAAAATCGAGAACTTGGCTAATTATTAATTCTTTGGTAGTATGACATGACATTTAATCCTCTGGACAAATAATTAGAAAGATTAAAGGACCTCTCCAGTCAAAAATTGCAATTGCATTTTATTGGCTAATCTAACCTGCTGATCACAAATTTGTTACTTGTTTTTCGATATCTTTCATTGTTTGTGAGTTACTAGGTCTTGCATTTTGATAATTGGATACTGAGCAAGAAATTGTTAGTTTGGTGATACTGTGACACCGCTTTGATGTCACAATATATTTCTGACAGTCTTATCTCCAAGCAAATCAAATAATGGTAGTTCACAAAAAGAATATGCAAGTGATGGTACTCTCAGTTCCGTTGCACCAACTCTAAGTTAGAGTTTTTCAGACAACGATTTTAAGCCCTTGTTTGCTTACCATTTCTGAAAAATAACTTATATCAACTACAGAAAATTCTATCTAGACAAAATTTCGTACAAATATTTTAACAAAAAATTTCTTTGATTAAATTCAAAATGAAACAAAATCTGGTCAAAACAAATTTTTTTAGATTTGAAATTTTCAAGAAACTGCATTAAAAAAACTATTATATGAAGTCAATAATCAATTTATTTGTCATTTTAATCTATTCAATGTCAATTACGTAATTCTCCTCATTTACACCATAATTATCTTTATCATAGCTGCATCATCATCATTGTTGGTTCTTGAACTAACTGCATTTTTATCATTGTCTAATAAAAATAATGTTAAATCAATGGCATAGGGAAGGGTGTGGAAGCTTCCTCAAGAGCAAAAAATTTCTTTGAAAAAGGGCATTTTCCGACATTAAAAGAGTGTGAACCCTAATTTTCCCATGCTCAACTCGCCTTTGCCCCCTAATCTTACCACCCTGGCTACACTACTGATCAAACCGCCTTTTTTGTTGGTTTCAAAAAATTCCACCTCAATCTTTTTATACCCAACTGTGTTATTTCTCTAATTCGTTCAAGATATTTGCAATTTCAACCCCAATTTCGAACTCTACAGGGAGCAAAATTTCTAGCCCAACATTTCCTGTTGGAGTCTTATGTTTTCTGTAACTTATACTTATATGCACAATTATACTTTTAAATATGCTCTGTTAATAAACTTTTTCACCATCTAGATATAGAGTAGAGACTCTTTGAATGCTAAAATCATCTCTTTTTCATCATATTATTACAACATCAGTTTCTAAATTCCGTCTAGGCTTGCTTGCTGGCATTGCAAGAGAGACGTATAGCGGAAGTGCTGTCGCTCACTGCTACAATCGCCTTATTTGGTAACCGTTAATAACCACTGAAAAAATACGGAAATGGCCCTACCAATATGAGAGAATCATGAGATCTGATCGGGAAGAAAGCAGTGTTGAAACATCCCCGCAGTTGACACAAACTACAAAAATACCCAGCGAGCCTTGACTTTCCGCTAATACAAACTTCCGCTGCGCAAGATTCCTTGCAGATTTCAAATTTCACGAAAGAAAGTTCAATGAAGCGTCGCCAGCGCCACGCGCTCTAAAACTACCCAATTTAACAAACTGCCAGTGGCCAAAATGTTTTGATGGCTGAATTTAGTCTCCGTATAAAGAAGAACCCTTCAAGCATTCTGCAGAAGTTTCGTTAAACTAGCCTGAAACTAAAACCCTGGAAGCAGTAGGCTTTGCCCTTAATTTGGCCTAGCCCTAACCCGCTGTACGTTTGAAATTCAAACAAATTCAATTAAAATATTATACTTTGTTCAAAAATAAACCCTAGAAATTGAAAAACGATTGCTTACCATTTTGGAATTGTTTTTCTTTGGGTTTTTCACAACTGCTCCGCAAACGTCTGACCTTGGCACCAACTCACGAAGAGAATACTGATAACGCGTTTGCACTTGCACAGCGTCTTTTCTAGTTGCAGGGCGTGTCGAATGCTCCAACGCAGTAGCAAGCATGTAAATACAGCTAGATTTTCACTTGGACCGTTATACCAAATATGGCAGGCATTTTTTACTCATGGTATTACCACAGAATAAGAGTAATTTATTTTATTCGGTGGTATTACATCAACGCTCGCAGAATTAAAAAACAAAATTTCTATAACTCAAATTGTTTTTTCGAAACACTGTTTATTGCCAAAAATGGACAGCTTCAATTCAGGGTAACTCTTCGTCATTCTTATTTATATAAGCATGTCCGTTAGAGTTATTTGTTTGTCTAAATCTATGAATCATATATGTATGACTCATAATTTCTTTATAATTCGATTTACTTATTTTTCTATAATTTTTCATTGTAAGAGAGGTGCCCTCATGACTTCAGGGGTCAATAGATGATACCTCAATTGAAAAAGCAATTCATTCTCTCCAACAAACATGTCAATAAAAGTAACAATAATAGCAAAATCTTATAAGGTAGAAGAAGCATTAACTCCATTGTGTTTGTCAAACAGAGCTGGTAGCTTTAGGAAATTTCCTAGATAGTTAGATTACCAAGCCTTTTCATCTGTAAAATATCAATTCAATTATGGAGCTGTAGTCAGGTTTTTCGGCAATTTCAGTTTCAATGGCCGTTGAAGCCATAGAAGCGAAGCAAATGGTAAAGCGAAGGTATTTCTTTATGAATTCAAGCTTACTGGACGAAATTTCAGCTGATGCAACACTAGCAGGCAAAGTTAGAAACATTACTTGAATAATGAAAATATTTTTGGTGCAGTATGTCTGTTTTGATCAAAATTAGCACTTAAACGTTTTTAACTTCCTAATATCTTTTCAACTGTATATAAATTATATACAGTTGAAAAGATTAATTGCATATTTTATTGCCAAGATGTATGAATTATGGCGATAGTATACCAGTAATTTTCAAACTATATTTAAATGACTTAAGAAGTAATAGCCGCCATCGCAATTTCAGCAACCAAAATAGCCGCAATTTTCGCAACCATCGTCTCAATAATTTTCCCCCGACCCCTTAGTAGAGTCAGCCTCAGGCGTGCCTTGCCTTTTATCGTAAATCGTCCCTGCGACCCTGCCTAAGACTGTAAATAACAGTATGACTATAGTATAAAGAATCGACCAAACAACTGTATTTTCTGATTATTAGGGCTCTAGGCGGTCAGCAGAGCCAAAGAAAATGCCCTAAAATTCTAAATCAAATTGAAAGTTTTGAAATTTGAAATGATGGCAGTTTATCATCATGAATTATGATATAATGTCATCCCCTCGTATAGGGCCTCATAAGAAAAACCGGTTGAAAGACTTGTGGGATTTGCTCGTTAGAGACATATAAAGGCTACATAAAGGCATGCCAGTGGTGAATCATATTTTGAAAATGCTGATATATAAATGAAAGAAAGTAATTAATCAGCATGGCAACATAATACTACATAGAGCAGAACCTGTACTATTATTATAAAGTTCCTCTTAATTTTATATACAACTCTTTCAAATTTCTCCTTTACCTGATTGTTTCTGAGAAGAGCACAGCAGTGTACACAATCATTTCAGTGCCCAGGGAATCGGAATCAAATGAGTAGCAGGTATCGACAAAGTGAATTAACGTCTGTTTGGACCAAAACCCCGAGATTTAAAACAGTTATTAAAGAAAAACTGATGGGTAGTTTGGATGCGAATCGTCAGAGCGAATCGTCTGAACCGTCAGGCAATAAAACATCTGGTTTTTTGTGTGAATGTGTTTGCAGAACTGCTTTGCACTGTAAAGTTTAGGCATTAACTATAAGGAAAGAGACTCTCGTTCCCTCCCATTTTTTCTTTTTAAAGAGAGAGACTTGTAGCAAGTCCACAAGCTCATCCGCTTGGTTCTTTGTTCCAAGCTTCGGCGCTTCTATATCATTGGTTCCAAAAGGGTTACATCTAAGCGAGGCTAATAAATGTGCTCCATCGTTTGCTCCCATGGACGAACAAAATACCAAACTGTTTATTAGTGGTGGTCTGCCTAACGGTACAAAGTAATTTACAGCACTCGCTCCCCGTTAGTAGAAGTTATTTTCTATTAAATTATTTTATCTATGCTACATCTGCATGTGCATGATTGGCACAATTATTCTTTGTATTCATCAGTTAGTATTATATCAGACATTACTTTTCGAATATATAGGAGTTTTTAATTTATTTGGAATGTTTTGTTTCCTTTGTGTGCCAATTTTTGTGCATTTTAAACGATCTACTGTTTGATCACTTAACTAATTTTTTTTTTATATAAGCAAGGGCATCTGACCCATAATCTATCCTTGTGTTTTCAAACGTCAAAACTTCACGTTATGCTTGCTCGATTACCCTAGGGAGCGATTGACAGTGGCATAAATTCATGTTTCAAGTGGGGGGGGGGCAATGCCCACAAAAGAAAGCAAATTTTCCAACAAATGACATAATTTTACCATCGAAACCGACAATTTGGTAAAACCTGGGAGCGGTTGCCCCTCCCACACACACCCCCGCAATTTCCGCCACTGGTAAGAGAGCCCTTCCTAAGAAATCCGCCCACATGTAATTCTTTTTTATTAATACTGAATGTTATTCATATGTAATTTTTCTGTATTGCTTGTCTTGTATAAGTTAATTAGTTTGGATAGTATACGTAACTGTTTTGTCCTGTTGTCTTTGGTATTGAAGATAGTGGAATTCTAAAATTATATGAAACTGAATCTCCCTTCCTACAGTATTTATTTAATGAATGCAATTTTTTTTAATTTTGGGTCGTTTTTTTTCTGCGTGGATTGAGCAGTTATGTTAAAAAGAAAAAATTATAAAAGAAAGAGCACTAAGTTTGTAACTTGATTATATTTTTCGTATTTTAAACCTAGCATCTCATTTCCAGGAATCTCTTTAGGCAAAGAAAATGGAAACTAGCTTAGAATCAAGAACAACAAAATGCAGCTTGTCAAATGATGAAATATCCCGGTATTCAAGACAACTAATTCTTCCAGAAATTGGAGTACATGGTAAAATTATTGCATTAATCTAAATGCTTAGATCCTAAACATTGTACTTATCTCAGAGGTAGCTGCCTAAGAAGCCAAGGAGAAGCATCACTGAATAATCCAGCTTTTTATTCTTAACGTTTTCATTTCCTAGAATTCCTGCTCATATTTTTTGGATTATGTTAATTTACTCTGTTTAGGTGCAAATATAGATGAGGAATAAATATTTACTGAAGAAAAATTTCAATGATACTTTGACTTGAGTAACAGTTGTGTTGTTATTCCTTTTGAAATCATCACATTTGAATGCAACTTTTTACACTTACTACTCAAATTTTTGAGTTGATGGCATTGATAATAATTTGCTGAAGCCTTTACTCTTTTTTGAAATATTTGAGTTTACTATTTTAAGTAAGACGAAGATAGAAGAGGATTTTGACTTTCTTGAACTTTGACCAAAGAGAGCTTAACTGTACCTCTTGGTTTCAGGACAGACAAACTTGAAGAATGGCAGAGTCCTTATTGTTGGCATGGGTGGTCTCGGTTGCCCAGCTTCCCTTTACCTTGCAGCTGCTGGTGTTGGTTGGTTTAAGTTTAAAACATTACATTTTCAAATTTATTGAAATAATTTTAGAACACATCCACATATAATTGCTTACAATAATCCAGACTGGAAGTGACAATTATGTGGCTGTAACAAACTTGCAAATTCAATGTTTTGTCAAAGTCTTTTAAGTACCACTATAGAATGACTATTAGAGTTGACTCTCTTGTAGTCAATCTGTTAAAAGTCACAGTACTGGTTGCATTTACATAAAACCTGGACTCAAATGTAGAAAACTAAATCAATTTTTGCTCTGTTTGCAGTCACACTCTGTTTACAGTCACACATTTTGAGGTAACATTTAGTGTGACTAAAACTGGAGTCGACAGTACTAATCTGTACCAGGGGCGGCTGGGAGTAGAAAAATATTGGTATTAGCCTCCGAAATTAAGACATAAGAAGTTCCCCTCGCAAGGTCCTGAAACTATTTAACAGGGGTGGAGCTTATATGTTCTTATTTAAGAAGGTGGGCAAAATGACCTTTTCGATATGATGGTTTAAAATAGCTTTTGGCAATACCATATCTTACAAAATTATTTGAAGGCACTGGCCCCCGTTGTCTCCCCCCAGACACTGATGAACCTGTGGTAATGTAGTTCATCCTACTAGTTTTGGGTGAAGGATCGGTCCTACGAAATACAAATGAATTATGGCTGCGGCAAATTACTCGAGCGAAATCGTGTTTTGATACAGCGGTTTGCTGCCCAGTAATGGAGCCCCAAGGTATTAGCCCATTAATTCTAATACCATGAGGCTTTTGGCCCGCGAATGAGATTCTATTACGATAAAGCGAGCGATTTACTTTAGAGTAATGCAGCAAAAAAACGTAAGATGTATCATTTGATTTGAGAAACCGAGAGAAATAATGTGAGAATGTTGCCTGTGACTCTACAATCATATAGAATCAAAGTTTTACAAAACATACAGTTCATACAAAACAACTTTTACAACTGCCTTTAGCTTAAACAAATTATTTCATGACTGTTGCTCTTTATATTCAGTGTCTAAATTTTGTCAATCAAATTATCCATCCAAAGGCATTGCTAGCAAAAGTACAGCTACATTTTGTAAATTCATAAAGTTAATTTCCAGAAATATTTTTTCTATAAGCTGAGGCCTTAGAATAGAGCTGGGGCTCTTTCCACCGTCCCTTCCACTGACAGTGGCCCTCGTAGTATTAGAAATGGAAAACTAATACCTTACTGCTGTTCACCCATTCTTCTACCATGGCTCAACAAGAGAAATTCACGTCATGCAGACCACAACAGACAAAAGAAATTTCGGGGCAGTGTATTAGTTTTTGGAGGCTAATACCATGGCCAGGGCTGCTGATTACGGCATTGATTACACTTTTCAAAGATTTCAATGAGGATTAGGAAAGCTTTCATTCAACGAACAGAAAAGCAAATATAGCTTGGCTATATGAATAGAGCTGGTCGCATCGATAAAATTGTTGTGAAAAAGTGGCAGCATACAAAAAGCAAAATAAATTTCCTGCAATCTCAGAGACCATAAGTCGCCTTCCTTTGAAAATAAAATGGTATTAGACTAATACCTTTAATACCACCCCACGCCGCCCCTGATCTGTACCATGAAAATATAATTTTTTGAACTATTATGAAAGTATTCAAATTTGGTTGTAGTTTCCAGATAACAGCTACTGCATGCATTTTAAAAGCAATGTGCATTAGGTAATAGATATGACAAGATTTAGTCAAATGATTATTGAAATACCAAAACCTCTAAATTTTTGTAATGAATATTTTTGTTATTCTCAGTCACAGAAGTTTTTAAGTCTAAAATGGTCATATTATGCTTCATTTGATCTGATATTTTTCTTATTATTGAAAGTCAGTATTTTGGTTTCAGAATGTTTTTTCAGATTTAGAGAGCACACTATTTGTTTTTGATTTTCTTGTAGCATTTGAAAGTATTCCAGCATCTTCATTGCCTGCAATTGGAAAAACCCTCTAATATATTTGCAGGGGTGTTGTGGCTGAGGGGCAGGGGGCACATGTCCCCAATTGTCAATCATTCAGAAATTTTTGGAAATTTTATATCTGTCAGCAAAAGAATATTTGTTATTCATAGAAGAGAAACTTCAAAGGAAGTAATTATTCTACAGGGCCATCAGAACCCTAATAATTGTCAAACTGTAGTATATTTTCTTAAAACAGTGTAATGAATGAAAAGGAATGCAATGGGCTGCCTCCCCAAACATGAATTTCGTTCCAATGACACCTGGTAGAAGCAGGAAGATATTAACAGAAAAAGTTTTCATAAGACAATGAACTGATGGTTACAGTCTGCCTATCAAAATCTAAACACTTGTACTGGAATTGGCAAGCTTGGCAAGTGGTATGACTTTAATGCACATGCACTTGATGACTTTAATTTAAGCCCCATGTCAGAAAATTTGCAAGCTGTGCCCCTCTCCCTAAGAGTCACTTCCCATGACTACTCTGTACATTAGCCTGAAGCACTAAATGCTCTAAATATTTTTTTTTAAATTTTTTGATTTGTTGATTGCATGCCTTGTTGTAAGACACTGCATTATTTTTTAAGCTGCAATGGCTGATTGATTTTTCAATTCATTCTGTTTTCTAGGTACACTGGGCCTACTTGACTATGATTGTGTTGAAATCAATAACTTACATAGACAAACCCTTCATGCAGAAGACACTGTTGGACTATCAAAAGTTAAATCTGCTTCAAAACAGATAAAGCGGTAAATAATAACAAATTTGCTAAAACCTGTACGACACTTTTAGAGACTCTATTCTCGATGTTATGACATCAATTTTATCAAAACAATATAGCAGCTCTTGCATCTCAAACAAAAAGGTAGTAATAATCCCCAAATGAAGACAATGGAAATGGACATTCTTAATGGATTTGTTGGCTTTTCCCTGTCCACCTTTTCCCCTTGGATTTTTATGTTATGAACAATTACTTCATAATACAGATATGACAAGTGTTTTAGGAAACTTACTATGCTGTTCATGACTTTGATTTCGCTGTTAGTCATTTTCAACTATCATCTCATATAAATTTGAATCTTTTTAATACTTTTAGAATTAATTCATCTGTCAATTGCATTGAACACCATCAAAGTCTTGATAGCAAATCTGCAGTTCAAATAATTGAAGGATATCCTTTCACCTATAATTACATTTGTCATAATTTTATTTCTTGTTCTTTGAGCTCTTTTGTGTACACTCTATATTTCTTTATATCTCTTTCAACTGAAATCATTTCTTAGATTTTTTATTGGAGTTTTCCTTAATCAAAATTCACATATGACATTGTGATAGATGCGTCAGATAATGTACCAACAAGGTTAGTACGTATACTTTTGTTGCAAATAATTTCCAAGAAATTCCTTCATCCATTTTGGATAAGAAAAGCAATCTACCAAAAATTGCCTCTTGGCTACTAAATGATTGATTTTTAGACAGCTAGATATTAAAATTTTTCTTGAAATCAACTCATTTAAAACAGAAACTACAGACAAATTTTTTCCATGCACAAGCAAGCTTGAAAACAAGATAAAGTTGCAAAATTGTTAGAGAAACTAGTTTGCTAGACCAAAATTGGTAGCTTTGATGCAGGTGCTGAACAATTAGCTAAGTTGCAAATGCAAATGCTCTTGTATTTGCATGATTTTTCCCAAGAATAGAAAGTGAATCAATCAAAGGCATTGTTGATCATTGTTCTCAATACTTTGTGATGTTGACCCTTGACACCATTCATGCATAAACAGTGGGAACTGTGAGTGAAGAAATTTTTGACCATGTAACCCTGTAGCAAGAGGGTTTTATTTTCTTAAGTATTTCTCTCTCAGGGACACTGGAATTTTTAAGGGGGGGGGGGGCTCTAGAGAAATTGACAATTTTTTATAAATGGTTGTTTGTCCCCCAGTTCCCCATTATCTTTGATGCCACTACCTGAAAATTATAGTACAACAAAAAAGAGTGGCTAAAGCAACCCAGACTCTCCGGGCTTTGGCCTGCCTGTCTCTAGATTCCTCTGTTAGAGATGTTTAAATATTGCGTATTTTCCAGGAAGTTATGAAAATATAACTATTCTGTTCTGTTTTTAGTTTTTTTAGTTCAGACAAAGTGCATTAAATTTTTTTTAAATATTTGTTGAAGGTATTTGGTTAATGATGCATGTGTTCTAACTGGTAAACCATTAATTTCTGGAAGTGCCTTGAGGTTTGAGGGTCAGGTATGTGACATCAGAAAACTATTTATGGAGGTTGATGCTGTGTGAAGTTAAATTTTTTGAAAAAATAGGTTTGAGGCTTCTTTTTAATGGTCGTCCGTGATTCTTAAGGCTAAGATTTTCTGAAGAGAAGCATCTCTTTCCATCATTTTTTCATTGGATGAATTTTAATTTTGCAAGTGTTACCTTTTGTAGGTGTCGTTCTCAATTTATGTACCCTGCAATCCCTTTGCTATGTACACGTGTATAATGTATTTTCTTGAAAAACATGCCGTGGGTGGTGCCATAGAAATGTTCACATAAAACATTGAGAAAAAAACGATTTACGGTAAAGTTAAGATCAGGAAAGAGTTTCGTCTGAGTGCAAAAGCGGTCAATAAATTTAGACAGACAGAAGAAATTATTTTGCAAAAAGCTTGTCCTTACCCACGATAACAAGAGATAATGGGAAGCGATGTTCAATTGCGATAATGTGAAAGGGTTCATCACTGAAGTAAGCTAAGGCAAAGGAGGCACCAACTGGTTGACATTTGTGTTGTCAAAATTGTTACACGCCTTCCATTAAATGATTTTTCAGTCAATTTCTTGATTGCAACGGTTACAATGTTCTTTGGGGAATACCCAGGGATGTCGGAACCGGGGTGCACTAGAGGCACATGCCACAAAAATTTCGACAAAGTACCCCTTCTTACCTGTACACCTCCAGCTTCTGGCCTTTTGAGGTTCAAAAAAGCAGGCGCTGTTCCTTTCTAGGCAAACGATTGAGCAACTAGGGAAAGTTCTAGATTCTTTTGGATGAAATATGGAAGTTTATTTGTTCAAAGTGTAGTAAATACATTCTGTTAAAAATGTAATCTATGCTTTTTATGTCGTCACAATAATATGGACTGAACTGAACGAAATTAAGTCTGATGCTTTTCAAGTCTGTTTTAAATTCAGTTCACAAAATGTGAAAAACAAGTATATTACCAAATAATATAGAATATCATCAATGAAAAAACTGATATCTTGCAGTTAGTTTCAGACTGCAAAAATGCGCTAGGTGCCCCTAGAACGAAAAAGACGATACAAGTTAAGAATATCAGGAATTAATTGGTTTATTAATAAAGATTACCGGTAAAACTGATCAGTTATAAAAATCTTTGCAATGGACACAAGCAAATTCAGAGATAATATTCTTGCATCTTTAAGATGGTTCTTTTTATGCACCAAAAGTGTTTTATAATTGTAGTTGCCAATTAATTAAAGATTATGAATATATCCTTACATTTTCTCTACGCTTTTCCACGCCCTTCTACGCTTTCCACGCTCTTCTACGCTCTTCTACGCTTTTCTACGCTTTTCTGTGCTTTCCACGCTCTGCTACGCTTTTAGTGTATAGAACAGTACGGGTCTAAGTTGCTACTCCGACTTTCATGCTTAATGCCATTGCCATCATCAGGCACATGTTTATCAGGAACAGTTGCGTTAAGTCAAAGGTTTACTCTTCACCGTAGCTTACGACGTACAATTACGAAAATGGGCCATGCTATCGTTGTCTTTATCCAAAGCCACCACCAGCAGAAGCAGTGACTAATTGCTCAGATGGGGGTGTGATTGGTGCAGGTAAATGCCCCAAGCCCTCTGAAAGGGTGGCAACATTTTTCACTTTAGATCTTGTGCTTTTAATACCCAAATTTTTTTGTATTTTGTTGCAAATGTTTATTGTTTTCACGCAAACTATAATAATCAACAAGTCACTGAACGCTAGAGTACTTTGCAAGTGATAAACCCGTAAAAAGTGCAGTTTCAGAAACATTTTAATTCAGGTTTTCTTTGATAAAGATATCCAACTCTCTTGTTTAAACGTACTTACAAAAAGCATACATCTCTGATAACAGAATTGCCGTCTAAGAGGTATCTATCGATGGAACTTTTACTTATGTGAGCTTCTTTTGCAAATGAATTTGTAACTTTTTGAAGTATAAACAAAGTTGTTAGTGATTTCTTTGAAAGTATGAAAGAAGGTTTGCAAGTTTGACTGTACTGTTTTAGTGACTGGCTTCATAGGATCGCTGCAGGCACTAGAAGCCATCAAAATGCTGGCAGGGGTTGGTGGTATGTTTAATTTGCTGTATCGTGTTTTGTGATTAAACAACAATCTCTCATTGAATAAACTCATTTTTAATTAGAAACTCGCTTTAAGAAACGAGTAATAAACAATCAGAAAAAAATAAGAAACTTGCGTGCTCGAAGCCAAAGACTTACGAAATAAATTAATTTTTAGAGATCCTCGATAAACATTTAAAAAACTAAAGTACTCGACGTTTCTTGCAAAATAAAGTTTATTGCTTCAATTTGCTGTCTTGCATATAAGGTTGAGAGAGGGAGACTCTTTGTCGTATACCTGAGAAACGAGCTGTTCTTATTTAAAGGCACTAGGACTCGTCAGTCAACTATCAGCTAACCAAAGGCTTTGCAGCGTGTTTGATATCCAAAACATTTGGAACCGTTCCGTTTGGCTCCCGTGTAAACGGGCAGAATAGCTTGGAACCGAGCCAAATGAGAACGCTTAGGAAACGAGGCTATTATGCACTGATTTACAGGCAAATGCGTCGGGACATGGTTGGGTCTTTAACTCATCTATATACTTTTTCCCATGCAATTATAGAATATTCCGGTGAAAAAGAAAATATGTTTTAGATTTATATCGTGTTTTTTTCTTCAAGCATCATATTCCCGCAGACTACTGATGTTTGATGGGTTATCAGGAGATATAAGAACAATAAAGTTACGCGCTAAAAAGGAAGACTGTCCAGTCTGTGGAAAAGAACCGACTATAAAAGAGCTTGAAGATTACGAATTGTTCTGTGGATGCAGTGCGACCGATAAGGTGAGGTTTTGACACAGCACAATTTTTTTCAAAAAGCAAAGTTAAAGCTCACAAAATTATGCCACATTTGAAATTTACAATATTACTAATTTTACATTATCTGACTGGGCAAATGTTTGTTTCCTTCCCCTTGTACATGTGTGATCATCGAGTAAGATCTGTATTTTTTAACGTTTCGTTGGTAGCTTGAGTGTGCCTGAGGTATACTGGCTGATGCCCACTCCCCATTTTCTCCGGAACTCTGTCTAATAAATCCTGGAAGTTGATAAAGAGTCTTCAGAGATACTGAACATTCGACACACTGGAGGGATTCAGTGGGCATGGTCAGGCCCCATTTCTCTAATCCCCTCAACTTTTCCCCTTTAGATCTCTGCTAAGGCCCCTGGAGCAATATAGCCTGACCCTGCACTTGACATCTTTGAACGAAAAGTCACAGAAGTATTGAATTTTTCAATTACTTCTCTTTAGATCAGAATTACTTCTCACGTCGCGAGTCTCTTTTCAAGCGTCAGGAAAACTACTATTGCTTGCAAAATAAGCAACTTCTAATTTTCTTTTTTTGCGCTTTGTATTTTGCAGACCAGAAGTTTAGATCTATTAACACCAGAAGAGAGAATTTCAGCACAGGTAATGTTTCAGGTTCCTTCAAGTGTTTAATCGACAGACCCTGTGACAAAGTTATGGATATTTTCCTACCCTCACCACAACGCTGTTATCCCGCATTCTGCATTAATGATTGTTAGCAAGCTTGGCTATTCTTCAGTTATGCAGCCCCCCCCCCCATTCAGTTATATTTCGATTGTTGATACACATCGCTGTTGCCTTCCATTACCTCGTTGTTTATTTAGTTGTTAGCTTAGGCCTTTGATATGTTATTTTATTATAGTAGCGGGTTGTAATAACGAGTCGCTCTCGTTTTTTTTCGAAACCACAAAGTTTCCAATTCAAATTTCCATAAACCTTTAAAATATCATGCCTTAAGCCCGCGCAGTGAACTTACATTTTTCTTTACTATAATTTTTAAATTGAGTATTTTGTTTCACAGGGTTATAAAAAAGTTCTTGATGGAGGTGCCAATCACATTTTGATCGATGTGCGACCTCAGAATGAGTTCTCTATCTGCGCCTTTAAGAATGCAGAAAGTATCTTTTCGATGCCAACTACTGTCACTTACAAAGGATAAATTGATTCAAAGTGGAATGTAATTTTGTCTCTGACATTTAACTTTTTGCAATAGCAGCAAAGGCTTTAAAGAAATTTATATAGAAGTCAAGTGTATTCTGTAATTCAAACAATTAAATATATGCTAACAATTTTTGTCGCAAAATTTGTTTTTAGTATAGAAAATGGTAAAAGTTCCTTTGGTTCCTCAATCTATGACGCAAAGTTTCTTACGTTGAAAGATTCGAATCGCTCTAATTAAAAAATGATATGTTGGGGACGTGTGGCTCATGGAAATCTCTTTTGCTCGTTATTTTGTGCAATTTGTTGCTGGTTCTAAGATCCCGTTTTACTTCAAAAGTATGAAATTTCTAAAAAATAAAACTTGACTACACTCAGATTTCCCAATAAACAGCATCGAAGATGGAAAGATGTTTAAATACATCAAAGAGCAACTAAAAATGGAAAATAAGCAAGGTTTGTGCTGTCTGATGTTTTCCATAAAACAAATAATCATTCATTATTTTGTTCAATTGTTGTCTTTTTAGTTTTTCTTATTCATCAAATTTCAGATGCTCAAATGACATTCAATAAAATAGAATTTCAAAGTTACTTGAATAAGTCAGCTCATGAATCAGTCTACTCTACTCATTTTTCATATGTAATAGACATATTTCTTATTATTCATGTTATTCATATTTCTTCAACAACCTGTTCATGTATTAATGCTTTATTGTTGCAGTGTTCGTTCTTTGCAAGCAAGGAAATGATTCGCAAAAAGCAGTTTTAGCCATAAAGAAAGAACTCGAAGAAGAACTTTCAAAAGATTTAGTAAAAGATATCGTTGGAGGTTTGTTGGCCTGGAGTACCAACGTAGATAATGATTTTCCAATTTATTAACTTGTATCAATACTTTAGCAAATGGTTTTGAATTATATGTTGTGAAAAACTAAAGTGACATCCGTTTTTTGCAACCATGAAACTAATCGGTGTGTTGATATGCAAGATGACTACTACCAGAAATCTTTAAGCGAATTTAATTGGTCTGTTTAAGCCAATCAGGCAAGGTGTCTCTACTAGGAGTCTTGCCGTTAATTTGATTGGTCAGTTTAAACCAATCAGATAAAGTGTCTGCCCTAGGAATCTATCCGTAATTTGGTTGGTCAGTTTACACCAATCAGGCAAGGTGTCTGTCACAGGAATCTCGCCCTTAATTTGATTGTTAATTCTAATCAACCAAGGAAGGTTTATACTGGCTTTCTCGAATACCTGCTTTTGCTGATTATTCTATATTTTTAGCATCGTCCTGGGTCCTACATTGATGGTTGACGCAATAGGAAATATCGAATTTTTGGCACACCCGAACTGTTGAAAAGGCCGCTTTACTAGTTGAGCTGTATCCAGTTCTACTCATACTCACTCGACCCCTACAAAGTAACTAACAAGAGATTCGAAGTTATTTCGGGAAAAACTTTTATGTGAAGCAGTCAAGTATTCAAAATTTTCAAGCTGTATATTGTTTATGATTTCTGGCATGTTTGAACAAGCAGCGTTTTGTTCGGAATGAACGTTCTCTGTTCTTCTAGCAGCCAATTTAGGCCAGCTTTTGGTGGTAATGATGTTCTTGTGTTCTGATGGATGTGACGGTGTTCTGTTTGCTGGAGAGTGCGGCTGCTGTTTCTTAGAAATCCAACGTATTGCTGTCTTGTTTGTATTGTCTTTCTGCCCCATTTTACCTGAGTAGTCGCCCTTCTCTTCATGGGGCGACAACGTTGGGCGTTTCTTTGGATTCTATATTAAAGATAACAAATTTATGAGGTGAATACTATTTATAAATGTCTCATCAAACATCAGTTGGTTGGTCGTCAGAAAAGGCAGGACGTTTGTCCTTGGTGAATTCAAAACCTCATTGGATATTTTACGATAAATATTATACAAATATATTTTTTCTTATGCTAAGTATACATCTTGGTCATATTTGCGAAGTTGTGAACCGATTTTCCTCTGAACATTGATGCAAGGTGAGAGCCCGTTAAAAATGTATGACTTTTGGGCTGTTGAAACAAGGAGAGGACCTTCCAGAAGTATGAGTATACTTAAAAAATATCAGCAAAATTTCTGATGGCATTCCTTTCTCTCACATCAATCGTAGATTTAATTTTATAGGATAAACATAAAAGAATTACTTTTTAAACCCGCACAATTCTGGAAAGAGAGGGTGACCCTCCATCCCTATCAATGGGGAGCATCCCTGTTAATTAATAATTCTTCAAAGCAGCTACAAATCGCTACTTACTTTTTAAACAAGTTTAATGGTTTAATTTACTACAATGTATTTTTAGAAATGAAAGAAAGCGAATTGACCTTACTCCGTTCTTAGCCAGGGTTGTGAAGTTCTTTTCTGTACTCAATGAAGAAAATCTCAATGGCGAAGCGCACCAGGAAGGAAGCCAAATTGGAGACTAAAAATGAGAGAAGGTAGATCTGAACCGAAGTTTTGCTAAATTTTAATTTTTCCAAACAAATGGTAACGTCTTCGTTTTTCAAGATATGAACAGTTTTCAAAATGTAACAAAGTTTGATCAACTTGACGATGTTTCCTTGGAGGATGTACCTTAACAACAGGGACGTGCCAGACAAAAATTCACGAACTTGTCCTGGAATTCAATTCTGAAAACATTTTACCTGTCCGGGAATTCGATCCATAAAAAACTGGTGGTTTTCGTAAAATGTTTTACTGAGAAAACATTTTTTAATTGATATGTTAAGTTAACGTCTTGAATTCCAAATTGAAATCCAAATAAGACTCTGTTAAATTGACAGCACTGGAGCCAACCGGTTTCTTGAAACTTTAGCAGAAGGTCTACAAGGTGGAAAATCCATTGGAACCATTTGAATTTGAGTACTAACTCCTTGTCTGACTTAAAAACTAGGAAAACTTTCCGAGAAATTTTTTCGCGTGGTTCATTTTACTTGTGTTATTAATTTTTAAAGATATCCTGCCATGAATTTGCAAAAAACTTTTTACTTGATATATAGTAATGCTATACAGTATATTCAACTTGTGGTTTGGTTGGATTTAATTTATTACCAGCACGTGAAAATTTTAGAGCACGAAGCATTTCACGTCCCCAACTCGTTTCTGATGACACGGTGTCATGATTTGTCGCAGTTTCCCGCTTTACCTTTAAAAAAACTGCCCAAGTGGTCCGTGTGAATTCCAACTTTGCAAATACCAGCATTACGTGTGAGTGATTTCCCTAGGCATTAGAAAAGGGGAACTTCTCCCTTCCCCAAAGGATAGTAGATCTTTTTGGTTGAATTTTGAATCCCTAAAGGACAACAGGACTCGCAGCCTTTGTTCTTGTTGTGACTTTTGTTTTTCATTTGACATTTTCAATTTGCAATGCTTGCATATTGCAATGGTCACTTTAATGGGCTTTTCAAAATGGACTTGAACAAATTTCTTGCCACTTTAACAACAGATAGTGAGATAAAACCAACTTTGATGTCTGTGACTGACATGAAGGATCGAAGAAAAAGATGCTATGGTAAGTGAATTTACTTACGTATTCCCGCTATGCTGAGAAATATCAGCAAGGTTCCTCGTGCTAGCGTGCAGTAAATGTGGCCTAATATCGCAAAGTAAAAGCCAAACAGATGCACAAACTGAAAAAGGAAAAAAAACGTTTAACGACGGTAACAACGAACATAACTATTTGGGAATGCAAAGTTAATGTTCAATTTCCATTTTGCGTTCTTGCTTGCCATTTAAGTTCTCCTAAAACATACGAAATTTGCAAATGTTGAAAAAAGCGCTTTGATTCTCAAAGTCAACACTGTTTAAGTACAAGACTGTATAGACTATGGAAACAGCAGATATTTACTTAAAAGTTAGAAGGACATTGTACAATTCAGTAAGTATTGTTATTCCTGCTATGATGGCTGTAATTATACTTCAATACTTTTAAACTGGTGAATTCTTTATCAAAAAGACTTTTTTCTCAATATTCTTAATACTCAATACTCTTAAAAAAAATTTTCTCAATATACTGGCAAGCCAGAATAAAAGACACTGGAAATAACTCACAAGCAGAATTAATGTAAATGACTGGGTTGATCTTTGAGGCAGCTCTCTTGCTTTTATGGCAATGATATCATACAAAATAAGGCCAGCACTTGCAATCGCTATCAAAAGAGACAACACGACGAACAGTTGTTTTCGCTTGCGTAAGGCTCTTTTTATTTTTCTCCCTGATTCACCATTTCCAGTTTCCTGTGAAAAAGGAGGGTTTGTTATATTTAGCTTTAAATATTTGGGTCAAAATTGATTGCAAATAAATGGCATGCATCAGGGAGCGCTATCCTGATATTTTTGAACGGGGGCCAAGGTGTTGTGGAAGGTGCTTTAGGGAAAGTAGAGGCTCTAAAGTATTGGTTTGAGAGGAAAGTAGCTGCTTTTCTTGGCTGCATTAACACTTGGGACATAATCGTTTTCCATAATGGTTGCAGCATTATCAAAAATCAAAGATATTTAAGCCAATAAAAAGTTCTTGTAGCAAAGACTTTATCTATAGACTTTTGTGTATTTGTCTTCAAATGGAAAATGTTTTCACCAAGCCCATCGTTTTGATCGATGGTGAACTACTTTAAATAACCAGCTCACGTTTTAATTGGAACAAACATTGCCTTTCTATGCTATTACCTGTAAATCAAAATCAATCTATTCTTTCTCAAGTTTAGTTCAGGCAAAACTGCAGCTTATCTCTTACCTGTGTCATTTTATGTCCTGATATGGTTTATCATCTTCAGCAACAGCTTTCGCAAGAATTCTTCATCAAATTGTAGCTTGCGCTTCGGTGAACAAACAATGACGTCATATTAATAAGAAAATCTTACGCAACTGTCAAGATTGTGCGATTTGTGAACGAGGCTAGTTCCCAATTTTTTACGATACAAAAATACAAAAGTTGTAATTTAAAATTTCGAGAAATATATTTTGCACATTTACTTTACATTTGTTTACAAAGCTGAGAAATTTATCTATTTATTTCCAGCTCATGAAGATTTTGCATTTGTTTTCGTTTGAAACGCGTTCCTAGTAGTCTTTATTATTCATAGAATGATGTCGTGCTTATCCATTTTTGTTCACTCAAGTCCCCTTTGCGGAAAATCTTAAATAAAATTAAAAAAGTTTGTAAGGATAAAGCACTTATATGGTCTGGCAGTTCTGTGGAAAATAGTTCTTAAAGTAAATAGATCAACTCACATATAACTTTCGCTTGTAGATACAGGGTTTTTAGGAGAAAGCTGTGAAATTCTAAGACTCAAGGTATATTGTGAATAAAATTAACAGTGCAAAGTTTTGTTTTAATACGCGAGATTCCTTTTTTGTGGCATTGTTTCTGAATATTATTCCGTATTGCTCGACAAAAACTCAAGCCAAAGTAAGCTCTAGGAGTCAAATCAACATTCGAAGATTACAGTTAAATGAAGAATTTAAGTGAATACAGGCATTAGCAAAGGTAACTGATCAAAAATTTCATGCTGGTAAATAGACAGAATTATTGCATTTTGTGAAAAAAACCGTTGCATGAAATGAAGGCAAGTGAATTGTTTTGAAATGTTTTTCCTCTAACAGTATGCTGCGAGAAACTACATTTACGACAAACATTAGTTTTTCTGCGACAAATGGCAGAAAGAAAAACAAAGCTTTTAAACGCAACGAACAATGAATAATTTACAATAACAATCTATGAGCTATAAGAACCCATAAAATCATCTATCTACAACTGTTTTTCACAAATCAATCCATGCTAACTCTCGCATTTTATTTAAAGTATTATCACGAAGTTTATCAAAAATTCGAAGTCTGCAACTGATAAAGTCTTGGTCCTTTCTTAATAATATAGTTTTGTGCATTTAAACCTTCGATGAAATCTTGAAAATTCCCAGTTTGGATTTTCAATACCTAAAGCAAAGAGAATATATAATAATGAAGCAAAGAACGAAGATAACAACAACAACAACAAAGACAGCGAAACAAAATACAATGAAACCGCTAATAGCGGCCACTTTCGGGGACCAAGCTTAGTGGCCATTGTTTTAGAGGTGAACGCTATGGAGAGGTATTTTCATATATACTTTTTATAAAAAAAGCTAGTCAGATAAGGGTGAAGGGTTGATTAAAGCCTTTGTTTTACTTACTTACATATATTACAAAATCATGATCAACGATATCATGCACTGTCACTAAATTGAAATAAATTTTGGAAACCTGTGATGAATTAAGCAAAGGGATATGAAAAGGCTGGAAATTAAGGAGTTAAAAAACATCTTTCTTTACAAAAGGTTTCCTGTTTGACCGTTAATGGGGGTCAAATTTGGCATTGGGGCACTCGTAAGTAGACGTTTGGCCGTTGATTGAAGGTGGCCGCTGTGCAGACGTTTTCTTACGAGAGTTTGACCATAAATTCCACAATGACCTTCTCTACGGCCCGCCGATCTGGAGGTGGCCATAGCACAGAGGTGACCGTGATTATAGTTTTCACTAAAACATTCACCTTCGGTCCCCATGATAAACAAATTAATGCTTGGCGTCTGAAAAGAAACTGTTTTAAATTTTGTAGGGATCTGAATCACAAAGGTTGGTCAAGGGGCAAACGTCACATCCATAATGATTGTATAATCTGGAATCAGTTTTCATACCTACGAATTTCTAATCTACCCTTGAAAATATTTATGAAGGATCTTTAAGAAGAAAAAACCAGAAGAGGCCTAGAACAAAAAACTCCAATGAGGCTTTAAACAGAACTTAGGGAACAAGGGTTGGCAAATACATGAAAACGATTCCTTTGACAAAGATGGTTTAATTCAACTTTGTTCAAACTTACCGCTGCAATTTGCTTCATTTGATCGACATTAAAGAGAGAGTTTCTATTGCGCTCTGCAACTTTTGTCAGCTCGGTGACAAATTTTTTTACCTAGAGAGAAAAAGTTAAAAACAATGAATTCCAAAATTTTAGCAAGTTTAAAGGAAGCGTAGATTACGTATCTTTAGGTATTAAAATATGAGTATGATTAGGTATTTTTCAGCCATGGATGTCACGAAAAACAGAAATACGGCGCAATTATTGGACAAAGACAAAATCAAGCAAGGCAACTGCGTTAACATTTGAAGAGCACCTGATACACGCTTGCAATTTTCTTGATTATAAATAACCAGGTAATCAAGATTCAAAGAGCACTAAGGTTTTCCACTTCTTTATTGATTGAGAAAGAAAAACTTTCTTTCAAAAGAAATGTGAACACCAGCCTAGCAAAAGACGGGGCTTTCAGAAATGAACATTTTCCTTAAATGCGTATTCTGAAAGGAAAACCTTGTCTGAAATATATTTGCAAAGTGTTTGAAACCAATTAGGACGTGTAAGTGGCAAGGGAAAGCATACCTGTTTTCTATTGCTCATACCAGATCCCTGAAACGACCTTTCAAGATTCAGCGTGCCAATATCATCCATAAATATGTCGACGAGACTAGAATCAGATTGTACGTTGAACAAATAATGACACACTTCAGAATCATGAAGAGATGGACAAAATATTTCTGGTATTTATTGATTAAAGTCATTCTTGCAAAGATTAAACTGTGATTAAACGCAAGCGAGAGTTTTGTAAAAGAAATTTTTTGGAAGGTGGTATTTTCAAATTAATAATACATGATGACATTCAATACCAGAGTTCTATTGATAGACCAATAATGGTAGATCGAGACCTGTTTCAACTGGGCACCCACAACGATTCCACCATTTGTAACTTAGGCTATGGTAAAGTGATAAAAAGACATACCAAAATTTGACAATTTCAATAACGTCTTCGGCATCTTTTACTGTGGCCTCTTCCCTCAATTCCAGTTTTGCTCTGGCCTAGGAAAGCCATTTAAGCATTGTTTGAAGAAAAAAAGTTAATTCACTCAGATTATTTTTTTTGTCACGTGTTGGCATTAGAGTACTAAAATTGGTAAATTTTGGGTTTATCATAATCAACATCACTGCAAAAAAGAAACATTAAAGAGAGCTAGGAAAATCACGATCTTTTGTCGGGGAACAGTTGATCAGTTGGTGGATAATATCCATCAATTTTGAGAGCTATTTATTAGAGTGATATGTTTTCAAGGAGTGTTATTGACATCGAATAAATCGCTTCAGAGTAGTGCCCTTGAAAGGCCTCGTCCTCTAAGGCTTGGTCTCTTCTCTTGATTTCGTCACTGAGGCATGTAAATGTTAAAATTGAAAACTGAGACATATGAATGTTCAAGAGCTCACTATCATACCATCAAAAGATTGTCTACGAATTTCAAATTGAAAACTGTGTACCTGGCTCAATCGAATCAACGATTCCAATTGCCTGGTTGTCACAGGGGTACTATCTGGGCCACGGTATTGACGCCTTAGCATCAAATAAAAATCCTGAAAAATAAATGCCATATTAATGAAGTTTGTAACGAAATGCATCGTCATGTCTTGACTAAAAGGGTCTTGCAATAGTAACCTTAACAAACGCTTTAAAAATACTTCTTTATGAAACACCATTTTTAATTTGATGCGATGATATTTTAAAAGAATATTAAAGGAAGATGGTTTGCAATCGCCTTTTACTGACGATTGAGCCTCTTGTTTTTGCTAACTGATGATGGAAAAACATTTTTTAATAATAAATACAACAAATTGTTATGAGAGACAGAGTTTACATCAAACGACAGCTTGTAAATGGCAGTAGCGAGTGCATTCTAATAGTTATAAATTTAAAAAACATTCGCTGTGTGAGCTGATGTGTACGTAAATTGACTAGATGCAAAAATAGCACTCCTCCGTGAGAACAATGACTTTTAGTGTTGGAACTGTCAGGGTCAAGAATCAGACATTTGTATCTTTTATTCTGTTTAAAGCTGCGAACCAAGCAAAAACAAAATCATTGTAATCACATGATGGCTTGTGCAAGCTTTGGATGCACCAGCCTTCCTAGAGTGAATAAGAGGTCAGTCGAAAAATGACAGTTCTACCTGTAAAATCGTTGCTGCTTCCGGGGATAACTTCGGGTGGACGTACTTTCTTGCATAGGCAATGTACTATAAAAGAATGAAAATATACATGTTTCAGTTATCGACTTGGCTGCCGTCACTTAGATTTGGGTAGTTGCCTAGAATGATGCAGTTCAAATATTTAATTTTAGTTAAATTAGAATAGAGTGGGAAAAATCTGTTCAATCTGTTGTAAATTGGCTGAGTGACATGGTCAGTAAAAGACATGCGTTAGATTGACGTTATTTCGGTCTGGCTCATAAATTTTTGATCTAAAATAATTTTAAACATGCAAGTCTATGTCTGGCTAGCTAATTAATAACAAACGAATCTTTTATGCATGAATGAAAGAATGAAATGAGCTAAAAATTAAACAAAGAAAACTCGAGTTACAAGTTATATATTAATCCAACTGCAACGAAGAGCGGGCATCAAATAAGCTATAAATGGCTGAAGGGCAACAGTGTAGCTGAATGATGATGCCATAAAAATTTATCTTTAGAATTTTAGAATTTTGACAATGTATCTTGAAAGAAACCAACAGAATAGAATGGGAAAAATCTGTTCAATCTGTTGTAAATTGGCTGAGTGATATGGTCAGTAAAAGTCATGCGTTCGATTGATGTTGTTTCAGTCTGGCTCATAAATTTTATGAAAAAGACCCAATTGCAGTACATTAAAAGGGAAAAGCCTCCGATAAAATGGGCAAAGCATACCAACTTGTGGTACATTTAGCTGTTTTGTACATCCAGAGGTATTCCATAGTGATATTACAGACCATTAAAATGTACATCTAAGAATATGTCTTTATATTATCACCAGTTAGTTTCTAGGAGAATCGAATGAGAAATGACAATCCACGCCATATGTCTTGAGATCAGTCTGTGTCTACAAGTTTGTTTAGGAAACATAACAGTCTTATAACGGAATACATTAGTAGACAACCCAGCCCTCTTCTTCAACAAAACGTATGTCTAAAACTCTCAAGATCTTATTATCACAATCATCTATCAAGTGTCTGCCAGGAAACATCGAAACATTGTCTCGAAGAAAAATAGCTATGAATATATTTATTAATATATTGAGCAATACCAAAATATTTTGTAAGCATTACATTACCTTTCTAAGAAGTTGTATTGGAATGTAATCGAGTCGCTCGTTTCTCGAAATCTACAAAATTAACTTATCTCTGTTAGAGACATCTTTAAAGGTGCTCATTATACAATATCAATGAGAGAAATCTTAAGAAGATTCAAAACACTGTATAGTTTAAGAAAGGTTGGCCCCAATCCAGCAGCTAAGTGAGTAATTTTTGCAAGAAAGAATGGGAGCTCTTCATGTTGCTTAGAAACGATACAAAACATAACAAACCTTCAATCTCTGAGACAGTGGCTTATCAGCCTCCCACTGACTTCTGGCCTCGTCTAAGACACTAGCCTGTGGGCATAATAAAAGGCTGTATGTAGAGCATGTACCTGTTTATGTAAAGGCGCTTTCTTGAATAACAGCTGCAATTCTAAGATGTACAGGCATATCGCCACTGTTCCGGAAAAACATGAAACGTACAGATAAGTGCATAATTTCTAACAGAGAAAACTCCCTCAATGTTGCCGCCAGTTTTGGGAATCACTTGGGTTAATTTCACAGTCAGAAAGAAATCAGTTTGTAAGAAGATGCAGTCGCCTAATAACTTAAAAACGAACTTGAGGTTTGCTCAACTCTTTGTGTAAAATATCATTTTGAGATTTTTACCTCTTGGGGCTCTTGGACTTCCCTGGTTTCAGAAGAGCTTTGGCTAGAATTTATAAGAATCGGAAGATTACAAAGTACAATTCAAAATTCACAAAAGCACTTAAAAATTGCTCTCTTATTTTTTGAAGACTTTCCCTATCAAAGCGAAGAAACACCAAGTTAAATTGACGATGCTAAATACAATCTCTTTAGCTAGGGACAGTAGCAGTAAACATTAAAAAAATACATTAAAAAAACATTTGGTCTATAATGCATGTTAAACAAAGTGACTAAAATTTCTAGTAAAGAAAAATACCCGACAGATCCACAATGTATTGCCATTACATGTTCAGAGAGGATGCAATCAAGCTCCTGCAAAAATATATCACGAGTTTGAAAAGGTTCTATAAAAACAGGGAGTATGGGCACAAAATTCACGAAAACTCGTGACTTTAAGGGAGGGCATAGGGGTGTCTATAGATAGCACCATATAAGTAGCCTGAGTTCCAGACCCCAAACTCTGGGGCTCAGGCTACATGTAAATGGCAGGGATTGTTAGGAGATAATGAATACCAAGTATGTTAAAGGACGTTTTGATCGAGGACGCGTTGTATGCACTGGGGACAGGAAGAAAGTATTGCAGTGCTATTACGTCAGAAAAATCATCGAAGAGTTGTGCGCTAAAGTTCGGGCAATTGACAAGGTGATATGGTAGGATGTTCGGTGTGGATTATGTATACATACATTGCATATTTGCTGGCATTTGATATGATAGAAGCAATACTTGAAAGGAATCCATCACAGAATAATGGTTAAAAAACAGCTTTACAATAAAATTTCAATGAGAAAATGGTTTGAGGATTTTAGCAAAAGAATTGATCTTTATGATTACATTTTCACTAGCGTATGAATATGATAAATTTTGCATTTCACTCATAAAGAAACCAACTTCAAATACAAGGATCGAGAACCAGCACGAATATTCGGCTCCAAAGGCCATTGGAGAGAAAGCATAATTTAAAATACAATCATAATTGCAATACAAACGAATTTCTCGCTGCAAAATACCTCATCAGGGTTATCCAGGAGTATGAAAACCTATAAAAAGAGCAACCAAATTACATGAGTGTTATAAGTAATTAGCATCGAGAAATTGGCTTTGAAAAATTTCGAGAGAAGTACGACAAAAAGGGGTTCGGTTTTGGAAGAGAGTATGCTAGGGATAATGAATAACCAATATGAGCAAAAATTGTTTTAACGATTAAAAGGGATTAAACACGAATGTCTGACATTGGCATGTTCAGAATACGCAAGTTTGCATTATCTGACTTGATGTTCTTATCTTATGTAATCAAAAAAAAGATCGTACTTTTTGATATTATAATTTGCAGATGGTGTATTTTAATTTCACAAAAGTGGGAAAATAATTAATAGCGTGGAATTGTTTTAGGCAATAATTTCACGTATTTTACTGTTCTAAAATATTTTATTTGACATGTCCATGCGACTGCAGTAAGGAAAGTTTAGAAAACTAGTGCGAATCAACAATAAATTTTTGGTGACAGGATACCGTGACTTAGTGTTTTGAATTTGATTACCATTTTAATGTGACGAATAATATTGTTAAATTTTTATATTTACCAAATCAAATCTGGACAACAATGCTCCATTCATTCTTCAAGGAGGAAAAGGAGATTGGTGTTAACGGGTAAATAACAAAACTCGAACCAACGATTTCAAGGAAATTGGCAAAGAAAAACAAGACTTTTGGGGTATTGCAAAAAAGTAGACAGTACAATATCGCTGTAAATTGATGACATATTGCTTGAGAAGTTAGCAAAGCGAGTAAATTACCAATACATAACAACGAGTAAATCAAGGTGGCTCCATATAACCATCAGATGGCTCTTAAAAGCCAGTGTAGTAGACACAGGCAAAAGACATCTATTGAAAGAGCTCTTACGGTAAACGTTTTGCGAAATGGATCAAAATGAACACAATGCAGTTATCTTCCAGCATCGAGAGCCATACTTACTTAAGGTTTTCGGACACAGTGTTGGCTTTGTTGTAATGTCCACCAACCGGGTTTGCAGCTGCTATTATCGATGTTCTTGCTGGTAGACTGCAGAGAAAGATATTTGCTGTAATAATATCGGACAGCTCGTAAGTCTGAAGAAAATTTGTTGACAAAATCACAGAATTCATATTCTGTGACTGAATTCACATTTGGTGAGCTATTTGATTACTAATGCTACTTACGGACATTGAAAAATGATTGAACATTGAAAAATGATTTATCTATGATGACGAAAACAAGATTTATTTTTGATCAATGAAACTGGATTTAGCAACGATCGCTAAAACATGAATTATTTTAAGATTATCTAACGAATACGAAAAAACAACAAAGAAACAGTCACAAAATTGAATTGTTGAATTGAAACGTCCAGTGCTGAGACTTTGGTAATAACTTTCTTTACCTGCAAAGAATCCCAGCTTTTGCTATGCTGATGCTTTGCTGCTCCTTTACAGAAAAGAAAGGCACAATATAACAACAAAGACAACGATCAAGAAAATGCTGAATAACCAGCAGTGTAATATGTTCGAGGCAAGTCTTATAAAGTAATTGAGAATGCAGTAACGAGAAAATATCTTAAGTTACTTAAAATCACTCGTACCAAGCTTTATTTGCTCAGCTAGACTCGGACACTTACCATTGCTTCAAGCAAAGCCTGGTGCTGTGATTTCATTTTATCGAATTCATCAATACAGCAACAACCTAGGACAACAATAATTGTGCGGTATCTTAAAAATTCCCATATTTCCCGAAAAACTCAAATGTAAAGCAAAAGAGGCGGTTGAAAATGGGTCCTTCAGTTATCAACTCACCATTACTCATACAATCAAGGCTACTAATGTCACACGGTAAAGTACAGGGTATTGTGACCATTCCAAGTTTATTTCCAGTGATCCTAAAATCCATTGTTTTTCAGCAAGACACCCAGAAGTGTTGTGACGTAAATCATGATTCACAAACGTTGACATTATAGCGATGAAAGGAGGCTTTCGTACTTTAAGGAGTCTAGTGTGAATTAAGAGGCTAGCGTGCATAAAAAGGCTGGCGTGCACAAACACGTTTTAGAATCACCTTGATCAGCCAGGACAAGAGCTCCTGCCTCCAAAGCGTACTCTCCAGTTCCACTTTCTCTTGCTAAGGTCACCTGGTGAAAACAAAGCAAACTTGATTCTAAGCGGTGATGACAGCGAAGCAAGGACTATCTGGATATAATATAATATCAAATAGTACACCATGTTGCATAAAATCATCATAGAGTATCAAAGTATTTTATGTTCTAGGATATCAAACAACATTTTACACAGTAGCACCTAAGAAAATCGTGCATGATATCAGAATATCATTTCGTAAAATAGAAGATATAACTTGTCAAAGTATGAGGAAGTGGGAATCGTTTAAAAAGTAATGAGGTTAACTCGGTAAAAACGGAATATTACTGTCAATCCAGATGTTGTTGTGTTGTTCCCACAGACATAGACGCCTCTTGGCGCCGCATTTGAAACTGCTTGGAGCATCTGTAGTTAGAAAGAATGCACAGTGAATGATTTTAAGAAATATCAAGGTTCGCCAGTGCTTACAACTTCAAGGTTCGCCAGTGCTTAATATTGTAACAACAAGAGTAAAATAAAGACTATTTTGTACCTAAAACAAGAACTATCAACCATTGTATCAGATCATTACGTTTTCAAGGGCCTAAAATCTGGAAAAAAATCCCAGAATCAATAAAGACAGCAAAAAATACTACACAATTCAAGACTTTGATGAAAATTTGGTTCCTTAAAAACAAATGCGCATATTCTTTTTGCATTGGGTAATCTATTACTTATGCAAACCTTGAATTTGCTTTTTGTTATTCTTAATTATTGTATGTTTGCTATTGTAAAAATTAACATTAATTAATCTATACAATTACAATTAAAAATAGCTGCAATTACAGCTTGTGCATTGATTTATCTAAGAATATTCTTCATGCCATATCATTGTCCCAAAGCATGCTTCCATCAAATACTTTATAAAGAGTAATAATATTCTTTCCATCAATACAGTTATAATCGTCTTCTCAAAACAATGCCAGATGAGCTTATTTTCATTGACATGGCATTGCACCAATGCCATTCAATTATAAAGATCAAGTGATTATGTAAAACAGAATGTTTTGTATATGCCACAACAATACCTGACTTTTTCCTAGGCCCGGATCACCAACAATGAGAATGTGCGGATCGCTTCGTATCGCAATATGACTCTACATTATTTATGCAAAATAAACAATTTTTTATACTCCTCAAAACTACTGATTATTTTAAAAACAACAAGGCATTTCAATAAAGACACAATTGAGAGCAAAGTTGCATGACTTCTTAATGGCCATAACACAACACAAAGAACTATGAGCACAACATGAGCAATAGTTATAAAAAACGCACGGGCAAGGTATAACTTCAAGTTGAGAGACTTCTAAAGAAGAAAACGCCAAGGCTATATACAATTTGATTCAAGATGAAGAAAATTAATTTTAAAACAAAAGTTATTAAACAAAATCTGCTTTAACTTGACTGAAAATTTTAAGATCTATGTTAAAAAGATTCTAAAAATCGAAATCTAGGAAAGCTTTCTTAAACGATGATACCTACCCTGTCATCTGAATGATTTGGTGTTCCACCAAAAAGTCCTAGGACCAAGCCTGCTTTGACAAGCTGAAATAAAGAGCAATAATATCAAGGAGAAAGTGTATATGACGAAACAAAAGAGGAACATTAGGCTTTAGTGTGAATGAGCATAATGAAGCAACATTACACGTCAATTAGAAAGTATCGTGTATTCTAAGAGCAGTAAATGTTCAGAACGAGGAACTGAGCAGTCTTCGATAATCACGATCTGATCTGTGCAGCAGAACCTATGAGGTCCAGGTTAGAACATCACAATTTCCTGGCTTGTTAAACATACTAATGTTCAATACACTTTTGTAACTCGAGGTTAAACTGAAATCTTAAAGTCTCCTTCGAAGGAATGGCAAGATGAATTTAAGAGAGGTCATTAGAGAGTACAAAATAGTTTGTGAAAAAATAGGCATCCTAGAGAAATGTAAACTATAGTGCAAAAGCGGTTATTCCATTGGCAAAAGATATACAGGACATGATCAGAATTATGGCCGTAAGGAACAAAATATATACTTAATATAAAAAACTGAAAAATACTTCCAAAATTGCAAATAGATTACCTCGTGTCCATATATTGTCGGACAAAGAGACCTAGAAAACAGAAAGTGAATATAATGCTTAACATTTTTAAGAAAGCGACAAACCACAACACTATCTTTGCAAAGGGCAAGTGTTCAGTATGAGAGTCACAAAGCATTTCTTCTCCTGCTAAAAATACAAAAAAATGGTTGCATGAGTAAGGTTAAGCTTTGCAAAACGTTTTCTTTCGACAGTGGAACAAATCTCGATCGGTACTCCCAATTGATGCAATATAGAAATAAACTTAGAAAAAACAATATGAAAGAATACTGTAAGATTAGAGGGATAATGTTTTACTGTAAAAACATTTAAAAGACTTGCCCTACAATCAGTTTGAATACGTTTTTCTCCGAATGAATCTCGCGAATGCCATAAAGCTCCTGAAAAATCGATTTTGAGATTGGGTGTATCTTTACACAAATACAAAAAAATCCGTTGTATGATTTAAATACAATCATCGGATAGGAGCATTTAAAAAATCATTGAATTCGATAACTGATCGCATACAAAAAATTCGAGCACACAACAAAGAACGAGTAAAAAGTGAAACAGTTTATAAGCATATAAAAAGTTCTTTTCCCTAGCATTGACAATTTTCTCAATCTTTGAAAGCCGTTTTAAAAAAACTAAGAAAAAAACGGACCTGGGTTGTGGTACTTTAATTTCTCCAATTTTATTTGCTTTCCTAACGCAACGATATTTGATCGTATGGACGCTGTGTTTAAAAGGCTTTCGCTCGTCTAACCGGGGGTTCGTCTAACAAGTCAAACATTAATAGCAATGTGTAAGGGCGTCACCTTTAGAGTGAAGTCACTTTTCTGCTCATCGGATTGACGCTGGGTCGATTTTGATTCTTTGCAATTTGTGACAGATACAGCCTGAATATATAGAAGAAACATGCACTTTTCTTTGCTCTTTCTTGATGCCTCTAAAAGTAAATGCAAAATCAAATATAACAACGAAATTTAACGACCGTGATCTACTGTCGTAAATTGAAACCTGTCTGTCTACTTCCCTAGATAAGAGGATTACATTACAAGTAGCAAAAGGAGGTTCTTCTAGACAGGTAAGAATTTGTTTACTTAAATACAGACTTATAATTGCTCTTTTTATTATCAAATAAGCTGTGCATACTATACAAAATCAAAAATTGATTAAAGACCCAAAGACAAAAGGAGCTTCCTCGTGAATTTTTTCCACGAGCAATCGAATCAGTCAGTCGCAGTCAAACTTACGGTCTTCATGACTCAATAGTTTGACAATTCCTGTCACCACAGCAACATCACCTGGTACACAAGCATCAACTAAAACAAAATGACCAAGTAAATTTTTTTCCAGCATAAACACTGACTATTAAAAAGAATCGCAAAAACAAGAATAAAATGTAAATAAGCATGAGTAAATTCCAAATTCGTAAGTAAAGGTAGTATCATTTTCATTCAAAAGGTCAATAAACAAAAACCTTGCCAAGAAAATCTTGAAATGCCTTTCGGCAAATTTATGAAGCGGTTGCAAGATTCTTTAGATTAGCTACCGCTACTTAAAAAGTTTATTTTCTAGCAACTTAAATGCAGCATCCGGGTTTAAATCTCAAAGAAAAAACTTTTTAAAACCAAAAAAGTGCACTTTTGCATTAACACATAAATACATGAAATCCTTCGAGATGAAAAGGCAGATGTTAGAAAAAGTATACAATGGTTGTATTCAAAAGCATTTGAAATGTAGTAAACGTCTTCAACGGAGCTGCCGGGTAAATCGCCAACAGGGTAGGTTGCGTGTAGGACTGTCACGTACGTCGTCAACAGGGTTGTAGGGTACGTCATCAACAGGGCTGTAGGGTACGTCGACAACAGGGCTGTAGGGTACGTCGCCAACATGGCTGCAGGGTACGTCGCCAACAGGGTTGTAGGGTACGTCGTCAACAGGGCTGAGGGTACGTCATCAACAGGGCTGTAGGTTACATTATAAACGAGGCTACAGGTTGCATCTTAAATAGGACGGTAAGGAACGTTGTCAACAGGGTCACCCGTAATGAAGGAAGCATGTAAATTTCTAATACATATCCTGTAAACAGATACCAACTGCCTTCAAACTGCCTTACAAAAAAAGAAGTACGAGAATAAATCGCTAAAACCATATTACAAACCTAAATCTGCAAAAAGTTCACATTCAATCGTGCGAGGAATTCTTCCAGTTTCTCGATGCTCATCTAACATTATTTCTTGCAATCTACAAACAGATACAAGCAAAACAACCTGAAATATCTTTTACTGCTATAAAGGAAAACAACCTGAGGTATCTGAGTCAAGCCTTCGTCAAAAGAGTCCAACACTTAATGCACCATTAACGCCCAAATAACTTGAATGTTCTACCAAGCATATTCAACATAATCAAACAGTTCAATTATCGTGTTGTTGTATGGAAAGTTGGAAAGCTGTCAATCTTTTACAGAAGGCTGAAATCAAAATCATTTTTTATTTTGATCAAACTTCATTCAACAATGATCTACAACTGCCCGATGACCCATAACGGTTGGTCAAACACATCCAATATTTCATCCAATATTTGCTTTCTGCCCATTGGGTGGAATGCAGTTGCATAAAGCTGCAGCCTATTTCAAAATACTTCCACTCAAAATATACATTGTCGTCGTCGTATAGTGCCTTGTCAGATTCTGACATTAGCTGTCAATCCATGATATAAAGTTCTGTTTTCTGCCAATCGACTAATGTCTACGCCTCTTCTGTCTAAGCATGTGCCTATCCAACCAAGAAATGTCTGTCTCTGTCTTCCTCTATCTCTTTTTTCCTTTTACTTTCCCTTTTACCACTTGGTATTGTTACTACTTTCCCTGTACATTTTATTATTCTAAAAACTTACATACAACATCTTGCTGCTGTTTAACATATAACCTCTTTTCAACCAAGAAACGCATATACAGAAAAAAAACAATAATCACATATTATAAAAAAATTTAAGGAGATTGGTTAAGCTATATTGTGCACGTTTATCCTAATTTTTAAAAATACATTTCGGGTACTTGTCAAAAGTTTTTCAACACGGCCAATAGAAAGCTAATTCAAAAGAAGCGTGCACACGCAAGCATGGTATATTTATAGATTGCCCTTTGCTCATACGAATGACTAACACCATTTGTAGCTTTCTGTTGGTCTCGCAAAAAGATACTTGCAGTGCCAAGCATCTTATTACTGATGTAGTTAATTGTATAAGATTTGAATTCTTCAAAATAAAAATACCAGATATTACTCATCTTCGCTGTAAGAGAGCTTTTCCAAGCCACCAAGCTGCCAACGTTCTATAACTAACTCAATGAAAATCTAAAGGAGAATTTAAATCACTTTGTTGATTTGTTAAGTCTGAAAGTAGGATTATGAGTGCCTGGCATATGGGAGACCGATATAAAAAATACACGATCAAAAACTTACTTTATGACTTGACTATCGATCGTTTTTGTATAAGAAGAATTTCGATCAGGAATAAATGTTCGTGCTCTGCATTCAGGTGATACACACTAAAAATTGGAAAAAAATTAGGACATAATAGGATCAATTTGTATAACTAACTGTACAGCACGTACAACACCTATGGAAGTAAAATCTACAACTTCAAGTAGAAGGCTCTCAAACTTTGTTTAGCATTTGGCGAATGTTTTTCTCGTGAGAGTTTCAATATAGGGTGTCTGATATCCGCCTATCCGTAATCGCAGCGATGCCGCCCAAGGTCAAGGCTTATTTAGTGTATAATCGTGATCTTCGCAAGGTATAAGAAATTCAATTGAGCAATAACTCAATTTGTGTTTTTAAGAGAGTGCTGCTTATTTGAATTAGGAAAGTTTTACATATTCAACTTATTCCAAGGTGCGACTTATTCGTGAGTTGACGGTTGAAGAACATTTACAACGAAAAAGTTATACTTCATTAACGAGTTCCTTCGCTATTCGAATATCCAAAGACCTTAACACTTTACAAGAAGCCGACTCTTGTTTGCAAGTTGACAGAAAAAATAGAAAAGTCACAATCTCATCATTCCTAAGTATTGGTGTATCAAAAGTTTTATCTATGACCATGACAACAAACCAAAACTCAGATTTTGAGATAGTTGGAGGGTCATGGTAGCCAACCTTCTGATAGAAGATGGTACCTGATGATGATGTATCAAAATTGGTAGCATACCCTGGTTGGCGTGGAATACTTCCCATCTATCAGCTCAATTACCTAAAATTTCAATGGGAAAGCTAGGAGTTTAAAACGAAGAAAAGTGAAATCTAAAATACCTAAAAAATAAATACGCTTTGAATGACTGATAAAAGACTAAAGCTTGCATAAAGTATATTTCTAAAAGATCATCTAAAACACATGAATTGGTTAAAGTTGAAGATTCACCTTAAGATTTCTATTACTTGTTACTCTTACTGTGAACGATACAAGGCTATCTTGATGGAACAATTCATGCAGTGTTATGACTTAAAGAAAACACTAAGACAAAAATGTTATAAGGTATAAAAAGTCACCTGCTGCGCCTGGCAAGAGGTGCAAATGAATGTCATGTGAGTTGCTAAGGGCTTGACATTGCCAACACGAACAACAGTACCACGAACGGACACCAGTTTACCTGGACAAGCAAAGGAAAATGCAATCACGTGGGTTCACTTGGTAAAGAGGCTTGCGATAGCCAGCAAGATGGCTACAGACTGTCGATGGAACTTCAAGAAAACACTGTTAACAACTTTCAAGTGGATTGGCTTGATATTCAAATACGCGTGTGATAAATACACTAGGTAGATGCGTATCGTACAATGAGCATAGCCCGTTTTTAGGTCTTGATAAAATTTACTCTTTCTTTGTGTAGCTTTACTATAAAATTAAGTTATAGCATGTGATAAAGCATAAATCAGATGCTATTGTTTCGAGCTTTGTATTTCTAATGAATGCCGCATTTTTAAAGTCGATAGAGGATTGTCATTACGTGTTGCAGCTTCCAGCAAAGTAGTCCCAAGACTTTTTTTAACATACAACAAAAATATACAAAGAAGAATATGAGTCGCAGTTGACATTATGAAATTTGATACATTCAGCTTTACACAATTCAATGCTTGTAAAAACGTAGTTTTGGCAGTCTGTTACCATAAAAATTTGCCTTAAGATTCTTCAGAGCAATTAATGGTTCATAGTTGAGGATCCTTGTGTTTATGTATGGCATGTCATATAAAATTTGAATACTTTGAGGTTCATCTCCGTTTTGATCATCAAGTAAGGCCTACAAAAGGAGAATAACCGTATTAAGGTGATGTAGAAATTCTTGATGGCAAGCGAACGTATGATAATTGAGATGCGAAAGACGGAGTCTCTGTTGTAAAGCATGTGTTCAAAGCCGACACATCTTGAAGTGGGTAAAAAGAGATATAGAAAGGGATTGTTAAAACGACTGTGAGACTTCAAAACAGGCAAAACAAGGCATATTGGAGCAGTTCTAAAGCTGTGTGTCTTTTTTCAGAACAAGGAAAATTTAAGTATACTTGTTCTGAAATTGGGCCAATCATGAACTGGCTGTAAATAAAGGGACAAAATGTTATGAAATTTTGGAAAAAATTGGAGTTTCGATTACAAAGTAGTACTATTCAACCCCTAAGTAGCTAGCTAGCATAGCAGAGAAATGGCGTTATAATGCTTCCTCAAGTTTACCTGATGGAAGGCAACACTCATGGCCTTTAAATGTTCTTCAGGATTATCCTCAAGCATCTGAGCAATGCTTGGCAGCTGCATTTTCAAATCTAAGATAAAGATCAGTGTCAGATTGCCAAGCAAAATAACAGGTAACTTAATCAATTCTGAACTAGATTTGAATAACCGTAAAATACACTTAACAAACAAGAAATAAGCAGCGGAGGTTTAAGATAAACAAATAAGTAAAGTTCTCTGGCAAATAAATTTTTAGTTAGCTATTTCAAGCTTCTTAATTGCTCCAATAAGAAAAAAGACAAAATATTTTACAGCAGCAAACTACTTGACACAAAGAAAAAATTACAAATAGTGAGATACCTTCATCATTTGTTAACTCTCCATAGTCAATAAAAACAGAATTATTCTTCTCAACTTCATCCTAACAAGAAAATAAATTAATATATACCATTTACAGTATGCTGTATTCATATATTATATACCATATCTATTTTATCATATTCCTAACTATTTAATCACACTAACTGGAAAATGTTCCTGTAAATTTTGTCTAAAATATTATGTCCATAAATATTCAAATTGCTTCTTGAATATATTCTGCAGTTTCAGGCCTCTTTTGTACAACAAAAAGACTGAACCAAAAAACAGAAATTCTTACCATATTAAAAGTATCCAATCGCTTTTCAAAATATTTTTTAAACTCTTTCACCTCAATGGCAAGCTCATCTCCAGGATTGTATGCTTAAGGATGAAAATATCATCAAATTACAATTAAACTGACATGTGACACTAAAAGTCTGATGTTAGGAAGATAAGCATACTCATTTTTAGAACTTTTATTAGATAATGTGATCACTTATTACTTGAGCAATTACACAAAGCCATATATATAAATGATCCAATCTGATTATGCTTTTTTCATCAAAAGCTTATTTGACCAATTTGCTGCCATTATCATAATATAACAAAAATGAATTATTTCAAAATTTGCTAGAAGAATCTGTATAAGACTATACACTCTAAAGCAACACAAAATTAATGTTTCCATCTTATGCTTTTCATTTTATAGCCAAATACTTGTGCCCCCTGATGGTATTAAATTATCAAACATTAGAATGCTATGAACATTAATTCTAAATCAGATCTTTTGCTATACAACTGACCTTTTGCTGGAAAATATGTGTACCATTTTTCAAATGGACAGTTATGTCTTCTTTGGGGAACTCTTCTGTTTTGAGAACAAGTTGCTTGCTGATGATTTGGAGCTGCATTTATTAAATTTTGAAAAATCAATCTTAATAAACAATTTTGGGGTATAAATACAATGACATTATTGTGATATGTGTACTAAATTGATTTGCATTTGACCAAGTTTGACATTGAATTGGATACTAAATATATTAACATATATCAAATTGCAAGTGCCATTTTGCACTCAAGTTAAATAAATAGCACTATTTGAAAGAAAAAAGATAATGAAATGTTGAAAGGGTCCAATTTGCCAAAACTTTTTAAAGTGTCAATGACCACCCTTTATTCTAGTTGCTAAAATATTAATAATAGATAAAATATAAATAAATATTATTAATTTCTGCCAAAATGAAGTACAGTCATTTTATATAAACTTGTCTATATATCAAAATTTACATTGTTTCTCCAGTCTGCAAAGAATACCTGTTTTCATGAATTTCTGTGTTGTTTATAATAGTAAAATTGTAATTTTGATGTAAAATTTCAACTTTTGGCATACAGCACTAAACTGACCTTGAATGTGCATCTGTTATACTCTTCTTATTGGTTGTTACCTAAAGACTACATAACTTTTGCACTTTTGATATTTCTTTGAAATCAATCCCATTCTTTTTAGCCATAATATTTGAAAGTTTTGGTAAACAAAATTCCATGTCATCTACTAGTATTGACGTTCCCTTTTGTTGAGTCTTGTTTGGTAATGATGAACATCAGAAAATTTAGTGACAATTTAAGCCAGATAAATCAGAATTAATTTGTCGGCATTTATATAAGCATGCAGATGTTACAACAAATGCATGGTTTTCCCTGAATGGCAGCTTCATATGAGATGCATCTTGCAGCTTTCTGTGAAAATAACTCTGTGAAGATTTTAAGATTGCAGCTTTTGGCGTGATTGAGGCTTTTTGACCCCCTATAATAGGCCCCCTATAATTGACATTCCATGTGTACAAGGTTCAAGTATCACATGCACAAGGACCCAAGCAACTTCCAGGTACCCAGCTGTTGCATAAATATCGAATATAAATTTTCGGATTTTCCAAGTGCTGCAAAGTTTTGGAGCTTTACTGCTCTACATCAGAGACCAAAAAACATTAGCAGTTTTAAAGAGCCCTTTAGCTCAAACGCAATTAACTTAGTTTAGTAGCGGGAGAGTTTCATGAAACAGTGGATTAATCGTTTACTTCTAAATAATCATAAAAAGATACAGACCAAACATGGGCGCATAAAAAAGTTGATTGCTGTACTATATAACAGAGATATATAGATACAAGCAACTGACCACTCAACAATCAATAAAAAAATTCTTACTTTGTTGTTGGTTGGGCCTAGGTCCAGTTGGCGCATTGACATATCCCTTATTATACTGACGCTGATGATTTCCCCTCCAGCCACGGCCCCTCTGGTAAGGATTAAATCTTCTAGGTCTCCTTTGCCCATTCATTATAAAACAGAAATAAGAAAACTCTCTAATGATCACTCCATGTTGTTCAAATTCACTTTTATTGGAGAAGGAGAATAAGAAAAACCCGCGTAAATTTTTACAGAACCGAGGCTAATTGAATTGAATGGCTCCGTTGTCGTAGGTACAGCTTGGCCATTCAGCAGTGCCTTGCAAAGTACACACATTGTCTGATTTCTTACAAACATTCGTAGACAGGCTTTAAATTAGAACTGCCAATAAATTCTTAAATCAAAGTGCGTATATTTGCAGTTTTACTTCACAACAGGATTGACTTATTTTCAGGCTGGAAAAAGAAATTCAGGGAGAACAAGAAATTTGGCAAGACAATGCTAATTAATCTACCTTTGACAGCTACTTTTCTTTCATATCTAGTTTTCTAATTTGTTAAATAGTATATACATTGCAACTACTAGGCCAAGTAATGCAAAAATAAAAGAAACAAAAATGTTCGTGCTGTAAAATGATGCCAAGAAGCATTTCAGTGTCGTCTGCACCCATTCTACCTAAGTTCTAGTAACATGGCATGACCGTTTTTTATATTTGCACCGGTGAGAAGCTGTTTAAACAAACAGCAAAAAACACGCTGGGGAATTTGTCTATGAAGTATATGCTACCATCATCCCATTTTCTAAAAGTTATATATTTCTAAAAGCGTATACTGTAGAAAAATGTAGATATCATAGTGAATTAGGGAAGGTAATGAAAACATCTGCGCATTATCTATGATCTAGGGCGTGGCTTGTAGGGGGGTTGAAGGTGTAACAACCCCCCCCCCCCATACTTTATGAGTTTGTCGATAATTCTTCAGTTTGTCTACAAAATCCTTAGTTTGGTGAAATAGCACCCAAATTTTTCTACATCTATTTCTTCGTCGGTAAATTTTCTATTGATGACCCTCCACCCCCCTAGTATGGAAAGTCAAGCGATGCCACTCTCTACGATTGCAAAGTTTGGAAATATATTCACGAGGAAAACAATGGATAAAGTTATATTGCTCTGTCTGCAACCTATAATGGTTTTAAGGGTTATACTTCTGATTGAAAACGCTTTCTCCAAAAGCTATTATTGTGCGACGCACTAATGCAACATATAGTATTGAGTATAGCTTCAAGAATCTCTAAAAAGATTTAAACAAGATAATAAATATATTTTAAATTATTCAAGTCTTAAAAGTTGAAACAGTTATTCCAGCAACCCCAGTACATCACTACGTGTGTCTCAGTGATATGATATTGTCAGACACCTTAAAGCAAAGTTGGGCTGATGCAGTCGACGACTCCCATGACGCGTTCGGATTATCCCTTATCGTAAACAGATGTACCTTTAACGACAAGAATTTGAACACTATTTTGCAATATGTTCCTTTAGTTGTCATCTTTAGACCTGAGATATACTGGATGCATTATCTAACTGGGATTTCGTCATTGTCAATGACCGATCGTATTTCGTCTCATCAACAGTGCGAACACTATTGGTTGCATCCAAATTCTTGCAGCAACAGAAAAACTTCCTCGTAAAGGTGTTTAATTCAGAACTGAAATAGATCAATATAGCGGCATTGAGTGAGCAATTCAAGATCGAGCTCATGTATGTGTAATTTCCTATTTTTTGCATGATTTCCAATGATCTGAGTATTGTTTCGATGTCAGCATATAACGTAATAAGCCACTGACAGGGGGTCATGCATATATTAGGAACAACTAAGAAAAACAGAGAGCCAAGAACAAATGCCATTCCTTTTGCAAATTCGGTGCTCGAATTACGTGGAACATGTCTTCCCTTGCTTCCTTGATTCCATCTGTTTCTCCGTTTCTCTGCCTTTGTCTTCTCTTTCTGACTTTCCTTCTTGGAACAAACCATGTTTTTGGTTTGTCTTCGTAAAGAGTTGTATGTCCAAAAGTAAATAAAGAATATAAAGGCAGTCAAACCCAAATACAAGAAGCCAAGAGTTATCCTGTATTGTATGTATGCACGTCGATTGTCAAAAAGATACTGTCTATGGTATACCAACAAGACACGAGTCGTAATCAACGTGTGCAGAGTAAAGAGTACGTTGGCAAGCACAAGAAAAGTCGCCTTACATTTTGTCATCACTCTTGGGTACGCGTTTAGGTACTTCATGTGAGCAAAGCGGTCTATGCCAATAATAAGCACCATACTGGTAGAGAAGTTCAAAAAGTAGAAGATTCCTGCCCCTATAAAAAAAGCAATGTCTTTGGAAGGTTGTAAATTCGCTGCTACCATCACTTGCTCTATTAGGCCAAAAATACCATGTAAAACATCCGAAATGCTGAGACAGAGAATGAATTGAAAAGACCTTGTTTTCAACTTTTTCAGCTTCCAAAGTGCATAAATCAAAAAAGAATTGCAAAATATATCAAGCAAATACAAGATGAAGAATGCAGTTTGCAGAACAACAATTGTGGCCAATGCTGAACTCATCACTGTGATTCGCAGTCACCTCTTTCCAAGGAGAGTCGTCCTAAGATCTGCAAGCTCAGCAGTTCGACTTTGAATCTAGGGCAGAATTAAATTTAGTGTACGAGAAAACTATTTTGCAAATCTCGCTAAGCTGCATGGATAATTTCATTTTAAAAAAGAACTTTGACAGTAAAATAGAAGAGTGAATAAAGTAATTTAATTCAAAGGTATAATTGTTATATGCCGGAAGTGCGTGGAGTTAAACTTCAGAACAAAATTTATTTTTCATGTCTAAAATAGAGGGTGGGTCATGCTCTTCCCTGAAGAATTGTCTTTCCAAAAAAGATCTAAACAATATCTAGAAAAGGTCATGCCAGAGAACATCTCCACGTGTTCTTCCTTTTGCGTTTGTCATTGCGCGTTTTTAAGTTAAAAATTTCCAGGAATGAAACAATTTTGAAATACTTCAAATCTTCCCGCTTCTCCCTTCAAAAATAAAATTTTCTCTTTTATTTCTTCTCTTCTTATTTACGCCAATAATTTTGAATGACGGTTATCAAGTAAAATGCTTTGGAAGGATGATTTCCGTTATAAAGGCTCGAGCGTAAATAGTAGTTGTGAGTAGTTTTAAATAGACAGTTTTGTAAACAAAGAAACATTTGACAAAATGTCAGAATTTTCTAATCATACCTTGAGAGTGAATTGACAAAGCAACCTCTCGCAGTCGTCTTTTAACCAAAATTCCTACTACCCTTATCCAGGTTGCTGCAAAGTTGTGAAGACTACTTTACGTGGAACAGGTATTTATTCAGTTGGTTTAAAATCAGGGGGGGCCTTTTAACGCCTGTTCTGTGAGTTCTAAGCTTGGTTATGTAAAACCTATAGAGAACGCTTCAAAGTAAGCAAATAACTACTTCTGGGGGGGGGGGGAATTAATGCTCAGTTGCATCTTGGTCATAAATATGAACCCAGAAACAGGACAATCAAACGCCTACTGACCATGCAAAGATGCAATAAAAACAAAGGATTAGCTAATACTGTACCCAGTGGCATCTTCTTCAATTACATCTGTGCAGTAAATTTTACGCATACTCTCGTTATTTTTCATTTCATTTAATCTATATTTAAAGTTGGTATTTTACAATAGTAATTAAAAGCACACTAATTCAAACCAACCACACTCTTTTTTATAAGAACTAGTAAGTTTAAGTTCAGGCTGACTGTTTTCTTCGAAAATCTGAGGCTGGATTGTTCTTAATTTGTTCTTGATCTAATAGGGTGTAAGCAGTACGAGTATTGGCGTTTTGGCTCTAGAGTGGTGTTCAGGCCTCATTTGCCAACAAAGTGAGTGAGACAGCCTTAATTCGCTGACAAATTTTAATATTCACTGAAAAAGCACCCACACATCTTCGATTTTGAAAATCTGATCTTCGAAAATCTTATTTGTTCTTAACTTTTGACCAATTTTGAGGCTCGTGTTCTTGCAAAATTGTTCTGATAAAAAAAGAGTGTATTTACAAAAAATACAATATACTTTTTAAAAAGGAATTAGAGGCAAAATTTGCAGGTGCATTTGTCGCCAGCCCAGTCCTTTTGAAAGCCGCAAGGGTTGGTTCATTTTTAAGACTTTCATCTAGGGTATTCCAAAGTAGACTCCCTCTAAAGAACAGTGATTCTTGCCCATACCCCTGTGTCACTATAAGTGGCAGTTTTGCAGAGATTTTTTATCCTTAGGTTATAAGTTACATGCTTCTTTTTATGAAATTCCCATATAATCAATGGGTTAAGATGACTCATGGACTTGTAGAGTTCTGTCATCAATTTCTGTAAGTTTCTAACATGTATACAAAAACTGCCACTTCGAATGAGTAACGTGTCGAAGGAACACTCGTAATCTTTTTAGAGGATCCGAAGAGCACGTTTGTGTGCGCTCAATTCCTTTGTATGCACCTTTGTTGCAAAACAGCCATATCAAAGTTCGACAAAATAACCACGTTGCAAGTTGCTAATTGCTAATGCAAATTGCTAATGCCGTTAAACTTTTCTTAACAAAAGAATGAAATTCATAAGAATATTGGAACACAAAATTGGTGAAGCTTAAGAAAACATAAAGAACAATTGTCAGGCTCGAACTCTAATGATGGTTGGTTTTACTTTTTTCTATATATTTTAATCAAGCAAGACAAGGTTGAGTTTTGCAACAAAATATTTGAGGCACACGCGCCAAGCTTATATTGAGCTCTTTTTTTCGTTCCTATAATTTTTTTCACGATAAAGAAACACAGTGGGAAAACTTTCGATTTTCTTTCTCAAATTGTCATTTTGTATCACTTATAATGATTTGAGAATAATCCTAGGCACAGAATGATAAATCTTTAACAATACTGAGGCTCATAGTAGAATCAGTGGCGTAGCGTGACTTTTTCAACTGGGTATTCTCTATTAAACAAAAGGGTGGGGCAGGGTGTGGCTTGATAGGGCTTGATGGAAATAGGAGGGATAATAGGAAGATTAAAAGGACTAGCTATTGACAATTTATCTAATTTTCTTTCTGGTTCGGTTGGCAAGTACTGCACTGTCAGGGCATTGCTATGATGAAAACGATACTTTGCTAAAGAACCCAACGCAAATATACTCTTCGAACTCATTCATTGCATCAAAATACCACTAACCATTTCATCAAAAGTAATTCAAATCAAAACGTATCATTGAAAGTCAGTAAAATTTTGCTAGTCGAAATATGTCCCAATAGTTGTTGTTGAATCCTCTAAAATTTGCACTGATGTAAAGAGGAAGTAACTTTAAACACCTTCTCTTGATACCTTAACACAAAAGGGCTTTCGAAAGTTATTCACATAGGGCATTACACGAGTTATAAATAGTTTGTGGTATGCAGTGGATGCAGTCTAGACTTTTTCTTCATGGCTTAATCGTGATATTTTCAATACAAGTTGATTGAAAGAATCGAAGGTAATGAGACGAGACTGCACAGTAATGCAAATAAATGCGCTCGAATAATGCAAACAAAATAGGCCAACTGAATACACCAGGCAACTATAAGGATATTATCCAGGCCTATCTGCATTTACTCTAATTCTATCACATAATACAAACAGAAGCATCCCTGATTGACAAGCAATAACAAAATTGGCATTTCAAGAGGCACAGATCTGAGTCAGCGTAGCATTATGTAGAAGCCTACCTTTCCTTTCCACTTTGCTGTTGGTAGGTTAAGATTAGGGGTCAAATGAGAGAATGATTATTAAACAGTAATACGGACACTGCAATAGCTTTGAATGAAGTCATGTTTGCTGTTTTCGATGAAGATCCACCACTCCAACCGCTCCGACTTTCATTAAATGTTTATATCGATCTCAAAACGAGACTATTTTGAACCAACTTTGAGGCTGTACGCTGCATATTTCTCAGCGTACAGGAGCATTGTTTTAGCTGATTAACGGCAAATATTATTCATGGAAAGGAGCATTTTGATTGGTTAAAGTACCGTCTAGGGTATTCACTGCGTATTCATGACCGATCTCCATTCAACATGAAGTAACTCAATCTTCAAAATTAGCTTCAAAGATCTCCCAGCTTCTCTATGCGTCGCAGCGTTATTGTTTTCATGAATTTCGTGATATTTTGTACTTGTACAAAATGCAGAATATCGAAGGTAACGAATTCAACCAGAATCAATAGCCCCAAAACATTTTTTAGTTATTACAATTATACGTCGTATTAATATATTTTCTGAGAAATCTCAGGGTATTCACTGAATACCTTGAATACCCGGACGCTACGCCACTGAGTAGAATAAGGCATTTGTACAAGCAACAAGTATGTATAAGAATACCGATGCAATCTGCCAAAAAATATAAAAAAGGGAGAAAATGACAAAATAACCAAAATTAGAGGAAAAAGCATAGTATTTGTGAAAATGGTTCTTATGTCAACAATTCAGAGCAGATTTTATCACCAAATCAACCCATCCTTCTGAAAATGTTATGCAAAATTGTTCTTTAGAAATCTTTGTTGTTTTTGGGCATCAAACTACAAAAAATCTTCCCACTTCACACCAACCCACTTCACAAATACACAGGGCCAGCCGTTTGCCTAGATACAAAGATCAGAATAAACATCTTTGGTGTGAAATTTGAGAGGATCTGACGAGAAGCATCTAATTTAGACAAAAGCTAAAACAGCCCACTTACGAAGACCAAACCCATCTGTCTTAAATCAAATTTACTCGCGAAAATTTTAGACAATATTGACACAACTACCTTTACAAGCGTTAAGCATGGCTTTTTGCCACTTTTCAGAAAAACCAGGGGCAGCATCTGTGAAATCAATCTGCGGCTACACTAGATAGCTAAACAATACATGCTAAACAATACCAAATTCAACTTAATATAAAGAAATTTGAGTTCAATTCTTGCAGACAACAGTAGTTGTTTCATTAAGTCCCTTTTCCCACGATCTCTAAACACAATCTCAACTATTAGCTTTTCTTGCTGACAAGCTAAGTTAGCAGTCTGATAAAAGCATATTGAAATCTGGTTAGTTTCATGGCTTTTTTTGAAAATTAAAGCCTGAATTTCCGCCACAGAATAATAAATAAGTTTTTGGTACCGCAAAATTTGAAGACAGCACGAGATAGCGGGAACCATACTGAAGTACTTTCGTGCCACGCCAATATGCGTGCCAAAACGTATAGTGACGACAAACACAAAATCATTAGGCAGGCAACACTGTATTTTCATTTAGGAATCTGTTTACCTAAAAGCAAAGGACTCTCACTTGTGTAGACAGAAAGAGTTCTCTCTTGGACTCTTTCTGTCTAGGTGAGAGGTTGGCGGTCGCCGATTGGTAGCTAAGAACAAACAAAAAGCAAAAAACGTGTCTTTCTTCCTCTCTCGTTGTTTTCGGTCCACGCGTTGTTTTCGGTCCATGCAAGAAACTGCAGAGTGGCGTGGACGGGGAGGAGAAGCCGTACTGGTTCAGAATTTTTGAAGGTTTTCACATTTTTGTGTTGAGAAAAAAAACTAGGACTATTTTCTTCCTGTGACAATCAGAACATCTTTCCTGTCGTGCAAAAGAAGCAATTTTGCTTCGCCATTATCATCTTTTGCCACCCAAAAGTCGAAAACTAAGAGTACTTAGCTCTCGTACAATTTTCAGTGCCAAACCGTTTTTAGGAACATGCGAACTTGACGGTGATTTTTATCAATGACTTTGAAATACTGTAATCACGTACTGATATTATGCAAAAATCGATATCATCATGTTTTTATTTTTGCTAACAATTTGCTTATGACGTCTTGAAGTCTTTAAGTACATGCACTTGAACCCCCTAAACAGACTTTCAGCACAGAAGCTCTTTGCAGAAAAATCTGAGTAGTAGCCATCATTGTAAGGAGGACAAATCAGGGGCATAGACAAAGGGGCTGAGGAGTCAATAGAGGATACCGTGACTCCGTGGTTTTTGCAAGTGCCCTTGTAGAATAAGTAAGTGTCCCTTTTAGTTAGAAGTGAGTGCATTTTCAATGTCACAATTCGCACGCCAGTGTCATTTCGTTTTACTGATATCTTACATTCTATAACTCAATATTTCTTGGAAATCTCTGTGACGTTGTTGTGACGTATTTGTCATTTCTTGATAACATCAGATTTAGAGGGAAGTTGATTTGAAATTTATAGAAAAGGAAACCAACATATAAACTGGATATTTATATTGCTTTCTCAGTTTCATATTATCAAATACAGCCTGTTTGCAATTTTTAAAGTCAAACTGTAGACCTA